TTTACTGAAGATATTTATAACTTAAATCTCAGGTTTACTGTAGTATTTAAAACTTAAACCTCAGGTTTACTGAAGTGTTTAAAACTTAAACCTCAGGTTTACTGCAGTATTTATAACTTAGACCTCAGGTTTACTGCAGTATTTAAAACTTAAACCTCAGGTTTACTGTAGTATTTAAAACTTAAACCTCAGGTTTACCCAAGGTACTAATGCAAGGAAAGTTAATTGCGGTTGCGTATACTCTGCGTACATATTAAAACAAGTTCTCTCTGGGCGGAATTTTTAAACAAGAATAGATGCATCAGTGTTCGTTCAGTATCCGAGGGGGTAAAAGGCATTTAATTTTGATAATTTTGAAAATTCACATATTAGTTTCCTATGACCAGAATATTTCATAGATTATTTTTGTGAAAATATATTCCATGTCAGGCTTCGACATCCGTCTTGTGTTTACTTTTCCGTCCAAAGACAGTTGCACTGCAGTACACATTTGAAATAACTTTCCTTGCATTAGTACCTTGCTTACTACCTATCTCAAATCCAGTGGCGTAAATAAGGGGGGTTATTGGGGTTATTTACCCTGGGGGTAATTATATTGAATTGAAAAATTTGATTTTAAAATTGAATATCTTTTTAATTTGCACAAAAATAATTTAAATGTGCAAATACTATAGATATTTCAGATTTTAAGTTATGTTATGCTAGCATATTCTAAATGATTCTAAATTCTAAAGTAATAGTTAATGTCATTACAATTAGATGTTTTTTTAATAGAAAAAAAGGATATGGGCAATAAAAAATACATTTTTACCTCTAAATAATGTCATTTCCATATTAGATTTATTTAAGTTAACATACTACATAGACGACAAGAAAATTTTAGAAATTGAAATTAGAATCAAAGACAATATTTTTTCAAAGTTTTGCAGAGTAGCTTTTCTGAAGACTGAAAAAAGTAACATCTTTTTCCTCTTAGAGTAAAACTATTTTTTGTTACTTAAAATAAATTCAGCTTTTTTACAGATCTTTCTAGTTAATGTAAAATGAATGACTATAATGAAGGATATAAAACAAGGTAAAATGAAGCCTTTATTTGATGGAGTTTGTAAATGCCAGAAATTAGTGGAAAATGTAAATCAAATCCAATTAAAACCAATAATTTGATATACATCGTGATATTTTTTTAGGAAAGGTTATGCAGTACGTTCATGAAAATTTTACCGTACATGGCTGAGATGTACAATTATTCAGCTAAAATATTGCGATCTCTTAATTATTAATTGAGATATTAGTTATGTACGCGTCATGTTTAAATGCGACGACTGTACTAAGAAATCCCGTAGCTTTGTTTACTAATAAAGTGTACTGCATATTTTGGGAGTAATGTAAATACTGCCTGCACTTAGTTTTACTGACATTCCTCCTAAACACTGTAGTACAATATATTTTAAACAAAGCAATGGTAGTTCCTGGTACATGTCGTGGTACAGTGTATGTATACTGAACAGTATACCTTTGTGTACATAATGTTTGCTAAGATGACTAAGGCAGGAAAAGTATGTATGTGTGGGTATAGAAAGGCTGATTAGTCTGCTTAACCTTTAAATGTAAAAATACAGGCTTGAGAACAAATATAACAAATAGATGCTGTCCATAGAGAGGAAATTCAGAGAGTTTAAACATAAATATTCTGCCCAAAGATATTAAATTTATAGAGTGTGAAAAAATAGATGCAAAAAGATGAAATTCAGAGAGTGTAAACAAATAGATCTAAAGAGTGAAATTCGGTTAGTACCTATATATATATATATATATATATATATATAAAGTAGTAATCTCTGTTTGTGCATTTGTTGGTCCGATCATAACTCAGGAACCCCTTAATTGATTTGTCTAATTTTTTATCAAGGAACTCGGAATTTGTTAGCTGGGTTAAAAGATTCTTAGTTGAGTGAGAAACCACAGTTAAAGCGGGGTCTTTAAGCTAGTTCCATATCAACGTATAAAGTTTATATATTTTTGATGTCTGATCATAGCTCGTAAAAAGCAAAAGATATAAATTAATTATCAAATCGTATTAATTGAACTTTCAATATAATTTTAAGCATACAAATTTTGATTTTAACGATTTTGTATAAATGTATTTCTGTATACATAATATTTATTGCTGACTTTCTACTTTTGCTTGTTTATGGATTTTTAAATGCCGGTCAATCTGCCTAAGGAGACCTTCTAGCTGAAGCCCTTAAACACAGATTAGAATAGAAGGGATTTAAGCCTAGCCCTTGGTATAAATTTTTTCAATCCCTTTGAGCCTGAAAGTGTACAATTCATGTACATGTTTACAAAGTATACACAGTACATTACAAAAATACAGTACGATCCATTGACATAACCGCTAAAAATTTCTTTTTACGCTGAAAGGAACTCGGGAATGTAAAGTAAAGCTTATGATAAAATGAACTCGTGCATGACAGAGAATTGATTTAGAGAAAATTAAATAATTTTGAAGAAAATGTTTTCTATTAAAAGCCGTTTCAGGGCCCAAAAGATTATATGGCGCTAGCACAAATGTGTGAATTACACCTGCAGTATGGAAACAGTAAAACAAAATGGCGGTTTTATACTTTTTTCGACTTAATTCCACTCTATGTAAATCTCCTTGCCCTGAAATAAAGGGGCCTCGAGGCTAGAGGTTTGTTTGAGGGTGTGTGTTTGTTTGTTGGCGTTAACCTTTCTTTTCTGTACACAGTACATAAAATGTTGCATTTAGGATATATTTTTGCATCACGCATACATTAGCAATAAAATACATGCAACTCGTAAAATTAAGAGTTACTTAGAAAGAATAAGACTGTAAAGACGACCTGAAACACTTTAAATATGATTAAATCAAGGTTAAATTAAGACTTCTGTGATGAATATAGGTTTTTTATGGTTTCAAGAAGAAATATACAATTTAACATCTGCAGGGACATAAGGAAACAGATATAGTTTAATGTCAATACAGACGTCTCTGAAGGGTCATCCATCCTTTATGAGTAACCCTCTATGTAGAGTCGGGTCGGTTTAACGAATGCGATTAAAACTGCAACGATCACAAATATATCGAAGGTAGAACACGTTATCTAATATCCTCTCTTTCCCTTTTATCTCTCTCCCCAACAACTGTCATTAACAATCAATATCAGATAATATAAGCCATCGTTAAAGATAAGAAATCGTTTAAAGATAACACATTGAAGATAATACATCTTTGAAGATAATATATTGTTAAATATAACACTTTGTTAAAGAAAGCACATTGTTAAATATAAAACATCGTTAAAGATAGCACATCGTTGAAGATAGCACATCGTTGAAGATAGCACATCGTTTAAGATTATAAAATGCATCGTTAACATATCATAACATAAAGATGATACATCGTTAAAGTTAAAACATCTTTAGAATTAAAACATCGTATTATAAAATACATCGTTAAAGATAACACATTGTATTTTATAATATATTGATAAAGATAACACATTGTATTATAAAATACATCGTTAAAGATAATACATCGTATTATATAATATATCGTGTTATAAAATAAATCGTTAAAGATAATACATTGTATTATATAGTACATTGATAAAGATAACACATTGTATTATAAAATACATCGTTAAAGATAATACATCGTATTATATAATATATCGTATTATAAAATAAATCGTTAAAGATAACACATTGTATTATATAATACATTGATAAAGATAATACATCCTATTACATAATATATCGTATTATAAAATACATTGTTGAAGATAATACATCGTGTTATAAAATACATCGTTAAAGATAATACATTGTATTATAAAATACATTGATAAAGATAATACATTGTATTATAAAATACATTGTTAAAGATAACACATTGTATTATAAAATACATTGTTAAAGATAACACATTGTATTATAAAATACATTGTTAAAGATAATATATCGTATTATAAAATACATTGTTAAAGATAATGCATTGTACAGGGTGTCCCAATAAACATGGGAATTCAGAGACGAATTCGATATCGTCTTTTCAAAAAATTCTTTGATTTAGTATAGTGATACCTGCTGAGAAAGCTGTAATCCGTAAGATTTTCGTCTGCTATGTTTACAATTTGTTTGTTTATGTTTTGACTGCATACGGTTGTACTCAGTAAAACAAGAAAATTACAGTATACAAACAGAGTAAACTTGTCCGCCTTCATTGTTCATCTTGCGGAGACATTATAGACACATTTTTACAGCCATTTACCCTTTTCATTAAATAAACTCTAGCAGACATAATAATATTATGGCTTTTGAAATCAGGTATTGCAATGCTAATTAATAACAAAGACGATATCAAATTCGTCACTGAATTCCCATGTTTATTGGGACACCCTGTATTATATAGTACATTGTTAAAGATAACACATCGTATTATAAAATACATTGTTAAAGATAATATTGTATTATAAAATACATCGTTAAAGATAATACATCGTATTATATAATATATCGTATTATAAAATACATTGTTAAAGATAATACATCGTATTATAAAATACATTGTTAAAGATAACACATCGTATTATATAATATATCGTATTATAAAATACATTGTTAAAGATAACATATTGTTAAAGATCCTATAATACATCGCTAAGATAAGAAATCGTTAAAGATGACACATCGCTAAAGATTCTACAAAACATCGTTAAAGATCAACAATTCTCTAATGCCCTAACGTTAACGAAAAGTAAACATTTTATAAATCTTCTTAAATATAGACATTTTGTATTTTCTATTTTGTTCAATATTAAAACATTTAAAGTTTATTGCACTTTTGGTTGATTAATTATGAACAACAAACTATTTAGTGGAGAAATTTGTAAATGATAGATGGATACTAAACAAGAGTCCAGGACTCCTACAATGCAGAACAAATATCCCCCAAACTCCCCCTGCATCTGACATTTAAAAGGTAACCTAAAGTGGAGAAAGTTGACTTTTAGGGACACTGCTTTTAGATCCCTCAGTCCCCTCAAGCATCTGGACTCCTAAACTACCCAAGGTAACTCTCTACTTTTAGGGACTTGAAAACATAGCAAAAAATATATTTAAAGAAACTGTAAGTATGTAATTTCAAATATGGCAATGCCCGATTCACAACGGTACCCTTGAAACCTTAATCTGAAGTTTAAAGTGTTTAATTCTGATGATAATTCCTGTATGATGTCCTGCAGAATATATTCCCAAGTAATTTTGGTAGATAACCACAATTGGTTTTCTAAATTATAAACATTGATATATAATTCATACTTGCTCAGACAACAAGATTGGGTACAGTTTTTTCTTAAACAACAAGATTGGGTACAGTTTTTTCTTAAACAACAAGATTGGGTACAGATTTTTCTTAAACAACAAGATTGGGTACAGATTTTTCTTAAACAACAAGATTGGGTACAGTTTTTTCTCAAAAATTTACATAAAACGTTCGTTAAGCCTGCCAGAAGATTTCAGTTATTCCTATTAATCACTTTTTTAGATATTAAAGACTTTTAGGTTATATAAAAGATTTTTTTTAAAATCAAATTTTCATGAGATTCTATTAGATTTAAAAAAAAAATATTATTGAAATTTTAAAAGATTCTATCGAAAGTTTTAAATGATTCGATCATAATGTCCTCTATTTAGCACTTCTCTTATTTGTCTTTAAAATTCAGAATTTATAAAAAACTATAGTTCCTATAGTTCCTATAGTTCCTATAGTTCCTATAGTTCCTATAGTTCCTATAGTTCCTATAATTCCTATAGTTCCTATAGTTCCTATAGTTCCTTTGCCATTTCGATGGATAACAGATAAAGTATAGAATGGTAACCCCATAGATAAAGTTCTGTTTTTTTAAGTTAGATAAACATAAAAAATTGAATACTCGCAACAAATTATAATTTTCTAATCTTATCTTTGCAACCTGAATATGTTATCCTTTAAGATTTCAAACTTTAGTTAGTTGATCTAAGCATAGTTAAAGTACCAGAGAGAATAGTGTGAGTAATCTCTAATTTGTTAATTTTTCGTAATATTGGAGAACTAACATAGATTTTGATTCAAGTGAAGGTATAAACACTATACGTACTGCTTCATACAAATGATTAAAATAATAATTTATTACACTGCAACTTTACCTGTCTTAGATTGCATATTTTATTGTTAATTTGTTTACACCACATTTCTTTATGGATTTGATTTAAAGGTACACCCTACACTGCAAGTGCAAACTAGGGCTACTCACAAAGAATCAGACTTCAGAGACGACTGTACGGGAATTGTCGAGTTTATTTTCTTAAATTCCCGCTTCCCTACAGGCCCAGCTCTGAACACTTGTTTCCATTTTTGCCAGATCATTTAATATCTTACTGTAAATCTCATTTAACATAAGTCCATATGCAACCCTTAGATCTATAATATTTAAACGTTTAAAGGTCGCCATTAAAATCTGATATTGTAGGTAAACCCTAGACTACAAGTATGCCTGGTCACGTTAAACTAGGAAAGACTGGAGAACCTGACCCAGATCCAGCTCCATACCTAGTAGTCTCTATGGAGATGAAGAGGTCAATGATGATGATAATAATAATAATAATAATAATGATAATGATAATAATAATAATAATAATGATAGTAATAATAATAATAATAATAGTGAAAATAATAACAATAAATAAGTATAAAATATGGCATGGTTAACAGCAAGAATGAGATTAAAAATTTTGAAAATTTAAAATTTAAAGATTAATAAATGTTGGAGAAGTTTGCATTCATATTTTCAATGCTTTCACATTAAGCCCTATTCAGTCCACTCTGTACTTTGAAAATAGATAAAAGCCAAAACACTTTAGATTCTACGCAGGGTACCCATTGATAAAAAAACGTTTTGCCAAAAGTATATTTTAACATGACCAGATTTGATTGCGTTGTAAATATTCTATTTGATAATGAATAGAACGGGAAAGTAGCTTTAATTAAAGTAAATTTAAAATTTAAAAATTTATTTATGTTATTGTAGACTAATACATTTCCAAAAAGATTATACTTAGGTTTTCTTATTTTGTGAGTACGTTAGGTTATTTACCTTTATTTTCCAGGGAAGCCCAGGCCAAGCCGTATGATTCCAAGAAGTCCTATTGGTGTCCTGATGGAGAAGGAGGTTTCCTGGAATCCCTTCTGGAAAGCAACGAGGGGGGGAAGGCAGTTGTACTCATTGGTCATGAGGTAAAACTAAACATGTAAAATTAACTGCAAGAAAGTACTTCCTGTCTGTTTTGGAAGATTTTCAGTCCTTTTTTGATCTATAATTTAAAACTCGTGAAAAAGACTTCATACTAAATCCTTTTATCAAAAAAAAAGACATTTCAGTCTCTATTACAATTTTAAATGTTTGGTTAAAAAGGCATCATTCTAAAACTGTTTTATTTTTAGCAATACAATTAAGTATATTACTAAGTCTGTTAAAATTTATTTAGAAAAAGACGTTCAAGTCAGAGCAAGTTGGTCAAGTGAATCCACCAAAGTTTGAGAAATGTGAGGACATGGCTAATCTTACTTTTCTTAATGATGCTTCTGTATTCTGGAATCTCAAGACTAGATATCAGGCAACTATTTTTTTAAATTAAAAAAAATTTAGATTTATTATTCTTTTTTTCAGACTAAACTTATCTATACATATTCTGGTCTATTCTGTGTTGTTGTAAACCCCTACAAGAGGTTTCCTATCTACACTCCAACTGTAGTCAAGCTCTATCTTGGTAAAAATCAGAATCCTTAATTCTTTTCCCCTTGATTCTCTTTTGTAATTTCTATATTAAATTGTAGGCAAAAGGAGGAATGAAGTGCCCCCTCATCTATGGGCTATTACTGAGACTGCATATAGGTAAAAATAGATATATATTATTTCAAACAGAGTTGAAATAACAGAAAAATAAATTTTGAATTATGTTCTAGGAACATGTTGCAGAACAGTAAGAACCAATCTATGCTGATTACTGGAGAGTCAGGTGCAGGAAAAACTGAAAACACCAAAAAGGTCATTTCATATCTTGCCATGGTCGCTACCACCGGAAAGAAATCAGATACCAAGAAAGTGTCTCTTGAGGACCAAATTGTGGCAACCAATCCCATTTTGGAATCTTATGGTAATGCCAAAACATCAAGGAATGACAACTCCTCAAGATTTGGTAAATTCATTCGAATCCATTTCAATGCTTCTGGTAAGCTTGCCGGTTGCGACATTGAATCCTATCTGCTGGAAAAGTCAAGAATCACTCAACAACAGGAAGTTGAAAGATCTTACCATATCTTTTATCAGCTCCTTCAGCCATTTGTCCCTGATCTGAAGGCTAAATGTAATCTTGGAGATGATATTTATGACTATTCCTATGTGTCTCAAGGAAAGGTCACCGTTGCTTCTATTGATGATAATGAAGAACTGGAATATACTGACAGTGCCTTTGATATTATTGGATTTAGTCAAGAGGAGAAATGGAATTGTTACAAATTGACTGCTGCTGTTATGACCATGGGAGAGATGAGGTTCAAACAAAAGGGTAGAGATGAGCAGTGTGAACCTGATGCTATGGATATTGCTGGAAAGGTGGCAAGCAACTTAGGAATTGATGCTGAATCAGTTATGAAAGCATTTTGTAAACCAAGGATTAAGGTTGGTACAGAATGGGTCACAAAAGGACAAAATATTGAGCAGTCCATGAATGCTGTTGGTGGTATTGCCAGGGCCATTTTCGACCGTCTGTTCAAATGGCTCATTGAAAAGTGTAATGAAACCCTAATTGATGCTACCATGAAGAAGGTTAACTTTGTTGCTGTATTAGACATTGCTGGATTTGAGATCTTTGAATACAATGGATTCGAGCAGATTTCCATCAACTTTGTAAATGAGAAGCTTCAACAGTTTTTTAATCATCATATGTTTGTTGTTGAACAGCAGGAATATGTTTCTGAAGGAATTGACTGGGTAATGGTTGACTTCGGAATGGATTTGCAAGCTTGCATTATTATGTTTGAAAAGCCTATGGGTCTTTGGGCCATCCTGGAAGAGGAGTCTCTATTCCCTAAGGCAACTGATAAATCATTTGAGGAAAAGCTGAAAGCATCACTAGGAAAACTTCCAATTTTCCTGAAGCCTCAATCCAAAACAGATAAAAATGCCCACTTTGCCATTTCTCATTATGCTGGATTAGTTTCTTACAATGTAACTGGCTGGCTGGAGAAAAATAAAGATCCAGTAAATGATTCAGTTGTTGAAATTTTCAAATCTACTGCTACCAATGCTCTGCTTGTGCATCTCTGGGCTGATCATCCTGGTCAACCTTTAGTAGCACCAAAGGATGATGCCAAGGGAAAGAAGAAGAAGGGCAGTGGTGGTAAAACTGTATCATCAGTTTATCTTGTTCAGCTTACATCACTAATGAGTACTCTTCACAGCACTGAACCTCATTTCATTCGTTGCATTGTTCCAAATACTCACAAGCAGCCTGGAGCAGTTGAGGCTCCATTGATCATGCACCAGCTCACTTGTAATGGTGTTCTTGAAGGTATTAGGATTTGCATGAGAGGATTCCCCAACAGAATTCTTTACCCAGACTTTAAACAGCGTTACACTATTCTTGCCCAAGGAAAGGTTGATGCAAAAACAGAAGAAAAGAAAGCAGCATCAACTATTCTTGATATGACTGAAGGTTTTGAGGCTGAAAAATACCGCATTGGTAACACCAAGGTATTCTTTAGAGCTGGAGCACTTGCTCTCCTTGAAGAAAAAAGAGATGATATTGTTACCAAGTTGATCAGGTTCCTTCAAGGACAGGTCTATGCCCGATTTGGAAGAGAAAGATTCCAGAAGAAGTCAAACCAAAGAAACATGATTAAGGTTATTCAACGCCAGTTTAGAAACTACATAAAAAACAGGGACTGGGGATGGTTTGTCATTATCCGTAAAACTAAACCAATGGTTGGAGTGCCTAATCCTGAGGAAGAATTGAGACTCCTGGAAGAGAAGGCTAAAACTGCCTATGGAGCTTATGAAGAACAGTTAAATACCAAGAAACAATTGGAGGAAGAAAATAATCTGATGGTTGATGAAATCAATCAACTGAAAAAGAAGCTGAATGATGAACAAGGTGACTTATCTTCTTACCAAGAAAAGCTGGCAAAGCTTTCAACTCAAAAAGCTGACTTGGAGCTTCAGCTGGAAGAGTGTGAATCTAAGCTTGCAAGTGAGGAGAGGAACAAGGCTTCAGCTGATGATGATAAGAAATCTGTTGAAAGGGAATTTACCAACCTGAAAAGGGATTATGCTGATCTTACTTCTAAGCTTGAGAAAGTATCTGCTGAAAAGGGGAAGCGAGACCAGGTTCTCAGAGGATTAAATGATGAAGTTCTTTACCAAGATGAGACAATTTCAAAACTTAACAAAGAAAAGAAGTATATCCAAGAAACTGTTGGAAAGGCATCAGAAGACCTAAATTCTGCTGAGGATAAGGTTACTCATCTCAATGAAGTGAAGTCTAAGCTGGAGAAAACTCTTGACCAAATGGATGGGTCACTTGAGAAGGAAAAGCGCATGAAGTACAACATTGAAAAAGACAGGCGTAAAATTGAAGGAGACCTTAAGATGTGTCAAGAAATGGTCCTTGATATTGAACGCTCCAAGAGGGAACTTGAACAATCAATAATGAGAAAAGATACTGAGCTAAACACATTGATGGGGAAGCTTGATGATGAGCAAAATGGAGTTGGTCGCACTCAAAGAATCATCAAAGAACTACAAGCAAGAGTTGAAGAAATGGAAGAAGAGTTAGAGGCGGAAAGGCAATCAAGATCAAAGGCAGAGAGGCAAAGAAATGATCTCTCAAGAGAGTATGATGAGCTTACTGAAAGACTTGATGAGTCATGTGTCACTACAGCTGCTCAAATTGAGCTTAACAAGAAAAGAGAAGCTGAAATAATGAAGATGAGAAAGGATGTTGAGGAATGCAACATTCAACAAGAGTCCACTCTATTGAGTCTAAGGAAGAAGCATCAAGATGCCATTGCAGAAATGTCAGAACAGTGTGATCAGCTTAACAAGATCAAAGCTAAAATGGAGAAGGATAAGGTTGCTGTAAAAATGCAGCTGGATGATACAAGAGCAGCTAATGACCATGTTGTCCATGAAAAGGCTGTGGCTGAAAAGAATCTCAAGGCTCTCCATGCTCAACTTCAATCATTCATGAAAAAGATTGATGAGAGTGCTGTTGTTCTGGGAGAATATGATTCAGCCAATAAGAGGCAAATGTCAGAAAACTCAAACCTGTACAGCAGATTAGAAGATCTTCTAAACAATGTCTCTATGCTTCAAAAGATTAAGATTACACTGAGCAGCCAACTGGATGATGCCAAAAGAATGTGTGATGAAGAATCTAAAGAAAGACAGTCTCTCCTAGGAAGATTTCGTACTCTTGAGCATGAATATGATGGAGTTAAAGAACATTTTGAAGATGAACAGCAACAAAAGAATGAAGCTGGAAGACATCTGCAGAAACTCATGGCAGATTCTAACATGTGGCGTTGCAAGTATGAGACTGATGCTTTGGGGAAAATTGAGGAACTGGAAATGACAAAACTAAAGCTACAAGCTCGCTTGGCTGAAAATGAATCCACCATGGAGAACCTCAACTCCAAGCTTGTTTCCCTTGAAAAGGCAAAACTACAAGTCCAGAAGGATATTGAAGAAATGGCTCACCGGGTTGACCAAGTCAACATCATGTACAACCAAGCTGAAAAAAGAGTCAAGCTTATGGATAAGGTAATCGCTGAATGGAAAACAAAAGCAGACACTATTTCTCTTGAGCTGAACAATTCTCAGAAAGAATGCCGTAATGCTTCTGCTGAGCTATTCAGAGTTAAGAATGGTTATGATGAAGCAGCCTCTCAATTAGATGATGTTAGGAGAGAAAACAGATCTTTAAGTGATGAGATCAAGGACCTGATGGAACAGATAAGTGAAGGTGGTAGATCTATCCATGAGATTGAAAAGCAGAGGAAGAAACTGGAAGCTGAGAAGAATGAACTTGAACAAGCATTGGGGGATGCTGAGTCTGCATTAGAGCAGGAAGAAAATAAATACCTACGTCTTTCTTTGGAGGTTAATCAGGTTAAGGCAGATATTGAAAAGAGGATTCAAGAAAAAGAAGAAGAGTTCGAGGGCACAAGGAGAAACCATGCTAAAGTTATGGAACAGATGCAGTGTGCCATTGAACAAGAAAGCAAGTCAAAGGCTGAGGCAATAAGAATGAGAAAGAAGTTGGAACTTGACATCAATGAACTTGAGTCTGCTCTTGATCATGCTAACATGGCCAACATGGAGCTCCAGAAGAGTATCAAACTCTATCAGGAAAGAATCAAAGACAAAACTATGCAGTTTGAGGCTGAACAAGTCGCCAAGGATAGAGCCAGAGACTACATGTTGAATGCTGAAAGGAAAGCCCATTCCAGCCAAAATGCTCTTGAAGAAACCAAAACCATGCTTGAGCAAGCAGATCGTGCTAGGAAGCAGGCTGAACAGGAACTCTGTGACACAAATGAACAACTTGCTGATCTTACTGTCCAAAACCAGGGGCTCTACAGCTCAAAGAGGAAATTGGAGAGTGATCTTGCAGATTTGAGGGTTAGTATTTTAAACTTTATAAATTTTCATTTAACTTATTTTCTCACTTTGATTTAATAATTGCAATATCAAAATTCAGAGTGAGGGTGACGAAGCTGCTGCAGAAGCTCATGACACTGAGGAGAAGGCCAAGAGGTACATGATGGACGCAGCAAAGTTGGCCGATGAGCTTAGATCTGAACAGGAAAATGCCCAAATCTTGGAGAAAGAAAAGAGAGAAATGGAAGCTAGGACAAAAGATCTTCAGGTATTACAAAGTCTCTTTGTATCAATAAAAATGAATTTTAAAAACTTGTAAATATATTTACTGTTTAGATTCAACTTGATGATGCAGAGACTAATGCTATTAAATGGGGACGTAAGATGGCAGCCAAGCTTGATGCTAGATGCAGAGAACTTGAAGCTGAGCTTGATGCCGAGCAAAGACGTTCCGGTGATGCTTACAAAAATCTAAAGAAGGCTGAGAGAGGAATTAAAGAATATACTTTCAGGTGAGCACAAGTTTAAAAAATATTATTTTAAAGGATAATCCATCATTCAATGAATAAGAGGTTGGCGCTCCTAGCCGTCCAAATGTTTCTGTGGTCAACATGACCAGTGTGACCTAAGGGAGAAGACTTAATATGGAAGATGTTCAAAGTACCTGTTTTTATTTTAGATCTGAGGAGGATCGTAAGAATGCTGAACGAATGCGGGATTTGGTTGACAAGCTTCAACAGCAGATCAGGACTTACAAGAAGCAGATTGAAGAGGCGGAGGAGATTGCTTCCACTAACCTTGCCAAGTTCAGGTACTGGATTCAAGATCAAACCTAAAAGACACAAAAATTTAAAATTTTTCATTTTTTTCTCATATTGCAGGAAGGCTCAGGTTGATCTGACAGAATCATGTGAACGGGCGGATATTTCAGAGCAGGCCTGCGCCAAGTATAGAGCCAGAGGAAGGAGCCAGTCATTGGCCAGAGATTATTAAAATTTCTTCATCAGAATTTAAAATGAATACTTGATAACGACTAAAAGCCTAATGGAATACAAAACTGCTGATCAATATTATTTGTTTTTAATATTTTCTCCATTTTTGCAAACTAAAAAGACAAAAAAAATTAGTAAATTTACAAATATTTATAATATATGATATCTCTAACTAAAAAAAGGCACCACTGAATCCTATGTACCAAGTTTTATGCTATATATATGTACCATTCACCAGTAGAAATGACATTTTATGTACCATTCAAAAGTAGAAATGACATTTTATGTACCTATTGTTAAATTGTGAATGCTAACTTTGATATGAAATATATAATTTGTTCACTACAACCTAAACTTAATTTGAAAATTATAATTTCTTTGAATTTTAAATACTGTACGGTTGTACTGAAAATACTGTACGGTTGTACTAAAAATACTGTACGGTTGTACTGAAAAAAGTATTACTATTTATATTTTTTGTTGTTTTATATATTCTGCAGAGCTAACTTTGATTGAGGGATTTCCAAGTGCTCACACTGGATATCAAAATTAAACATTTAAGAGTGGCGTTACTCCACACAAAATCTCTGTTCTCACTATCTACTTTGGATTTAAATATTGTAGATTCTAGAATAAAAGGGAGTGAAATATTGTGGATTCTAGAATAAAAGGGAGTGAAATATTGTAAATTCTAGAATAAAAGAGAGTGAAATATTGTAGATTCTAGAATAAAAGGGAGTGAAATATTGTAATTCTAGAATAAAAGGGAGTGAAATATTGTAGATTCTAGAATAAAAGGGAGTGAAATATTGTAGATTCTAGAATAAAAGGGAGTGAAATATTGTAGATTCTAGAATAAAGCAAAAATCTACTTCTTAAAAAATCAAATCTCAAAACAAGTGCTTTATAGTTCTAAAAGTGAGCTTACTGCAGGGTAAAATTAAAGGCAAAGGCTTTGCGACACTTTAAAGTCGATCCAATCTAGTTAATTAATGCAACTTTTCAAAGCAGTCTGGGTTAAGGTTTTCGCGAAATGACCAATATTTTTTGCGCACCATTATGATTATGCTACTCTCAATTGGCTACTTAGTAGTACTTAACTAATCAGTTTGATAAAAAAAAAGAATATGTGAATCTTCCCCCCTCAACTTTAACTAACAAATTCTTAATTATGACCATTTGCAAAAAGTGCTGCACAACAAAAGAAATATTTAATGCAATTAAAACAGATGCAACTAACGCAAACAATCTCAGATAAAATCAAGTCAAATCAAATGATATCATATAAAATGAAATGAAATCAAGTAAAGTCAAATAAGATCAAATAAGATCAAATAAGATAAAAAAGATAATTATTGAATTCTATTATTTAACAAACAATTCATTGCTGTTATAAACATTAAACAAAAAGACTAAATAAAATACAAACATATTTTTAAATTCTATATTTACTGAGTATACAGGGTTACTCACAAAGACTGAGAACGTAAAGACGACCTGAAACTCTTTTTTTCTAAGGTTACATTAAGTATGGACAAAGAAAGAAACAAATAAAGAAAGAAATCATGAATATTAGAAAATAGACAGCGTTAGCCCCGTACAGTCGTCTCTGAAGTCTCATCCTTTGTGGTTAACCCTGTATATAAGTTCTAAGCTAAACTAACAAACAATTTAATTGGATCTCAAAATTCGTCCGAAAAAGTTAACAAAATAATATAACAACTGGTATTTAACATTACTTGTTGGATATTTAGAATATAAAATAATTTAATAATTATATAAAATAATAAAAATGGAAGTTCATCAAACACTTGAAGGGACTATAAGTGAAATTTTCATCAATTTTCCGATTAACAAGGGTACTTTTTAAATCACTTTTAAAGAGAAAAATCCTGATTAAAAATAAAACATGTTTGGCGGCTAGACGAGCTAGACAAACTAGGTAATTCAGAATTTTCTTAATCGGAAACGTCAATCCATAAATAGTAAATCACTTGCAATTACGTGTTCGGTCCCTTTAAGCTTTTTAAATGTTTTTGCATATGTCCAATAGAACTGGAAGATAACTGTTACATCTGGAAAAAAATATAAATTGTTTTTTTTTATAAAAATATAAAAATCATTTAATTCTTGAGTTCGAGAGTTTTTAACTCCATCAAACCTTAGGAGTTTGCACCTTTTAGTCTAATGTCTATAAAAAAAAAATAATGATCTGCATAATTCTATCAAACGCATGCGTGTATAAAAGTTTTTTTTCATAAAAAATCTAAATTTCACAATATTTAAAATACTTTTGATGCATTTGTCTGTCCCAATACTCAATGTAACTATTGTCCTGTAAAATTATTCGGGGAAAATTTGTTCATTTAGAAATCTGGATTGTAGCGTTGAGGTTGCTGAACCCTGCCCGCCCAGTTTTGCTGCTGTGCCCGGTCAGCAAGTTGCTCTGGTCGGCGAGCTAGCTCGTCCCAGTCTGCTGACCGACGGCCGGCCAGCTGAGCACGGTAGCCAGACTCAGGTTGGTGAAGTTTTAAATCATTTCCTGAAAATGTTAAATATGATATTTTTCTTTACTTTTTAGAAAATTGGATAAATTAAAAAAGAGTTTTGATGACGTATTTTCAAACTTGTAATCGACTGTCATCGTCATATTTATAAGTATTTCATGTCGTTGAAGACTCTTTTTTTGTGAATAACTTTGTAAATATGATTGGTTCTTCGTTTCGGTTCGTTTTTGCCAGCTTTTAGGACTTTAAGTTTTTCCCAACAGTTTGGGACTTTAAGTGTTTCCCAACAGTTTGGGACTTTAAGTGTTTCCCAACAGTTTGGGACTTAAAGTTTTTCCCAACAGTTTGGGACTTTAAGTTTTAACAGGTTTCCCAAAAATCTGAGAAGTTTCACGAATTTCAAATACAGGGTGTCCCACGAAACATGTCAGTATGCAGGACGACTTGAATGTCGTCTTGATTTTTGATATAATTTGCTGCGTTTATTTGTCAATATAATTTTAGAAGCAAATTTCTAGAGATAATAATCACAAAATTTCAATATTGCCCGAGATATGAAGAATTTCGTTCAGATTTCTACAATTTTGCTTTTATTTAACAAAATTGAAATCTGAACCAAACTCTTTATATCTCCGCTAATATTGAAAGCACAAAAAACGCAGACCACTTTTTGGAAATGCCAGGGCTAGGAGAATTATGTGATCGTTGTTTCAAGAATCATACATGTTAAAGTAGATAGAAGACTAAATGTCACAAATAAATTCAAATACCAAAGACGACTTTCAAGTCGTCTTGCTATTGTCATGTTTCGTGGGACACCCTGTATGTTCATTCTAAACATTTGCTTTCTAACACTATGCCAAATTTTGAATATGCAAGATACAACCCTACTACTTGTATTTACCTAATCCCAAATAGAAGTATGGATTAAAAATATCCCGATACAAGGCAGTTTCTTGAATTTGGTTTTACGTCATTTAAAGGGACTGTAAGCGTAATTTCAAGTTACTCTCCATGCAAAAATGGCAATGCTTGATTTACAACGGTACCCTTAAAAGCTGATCAACTTTTCGAATCAGAAAAACGAGGCTATCTATCTATCTATCTATCTATCTATCTATCTATCTATCTATCTATCTATCTATCTATCTATCTATCTATCTATTTATCACATTTTTGATCAGATAAAGGATCACTATAGTTTCAGTATAAGTAAATATTTCCATTTTGGATGATGAGATAGATACAAAGATAGATGTTACCCCGATGCTATTTATATTGGTTCAGAATAGACAACAAACACATGGCTGAACCCTGATTGGATCAGGCGCTAATGGACTCGGCATACTAGAGTGCAATGGTTCCGTTGTAAATCGGGCATTGCAATCTTTGCATGAAGGGTCACATAAAATTACGCCTACAGTCCCTTTAAAGTCTTATTTGCAGTGGATAGCCTTGTATTTACCTAATCCCGGATAGAAGTATGGATTGTTAGCAGGAGCTTTCAAGGAATCTACGTCGTCTTCCATATCCTAAATAAAAACAGCTTTAAAATGTCGTCTTGACAAGTTTTTAATGACTTTTAAAATATTATACAGAGTGTCCCACATCAAATTAGACCGCGTCAATGGGTCTAAAATATGATTTGGGGACAAATCAGAAAATTTAAGAAGAATGAATTATTTTGACAAATTTAATAAGGCTATTAGAAAATTGTTTTTGCAGAAAATGCTATATTTTCCGAGTATTATATGCGTATTTTGGCGCTAAAGATTGGAGATAATCTAATATGATATGGGACGCTCTGTACCTAAACTTAGGAATTGTATAAATATGTAATATATTCTGTGTTAATGCTTGATGCGATCTATATTATCCATGTTAGTAATATATCTTAACTATCTGTATTTTGACCCTGTCCGACTAGTCCGGTCAGTTTAGTTTCACATATAAAATAAATTAGTTCAATACGAATCTTTGAGTTATACGGACGTATACAGAGCCTTGAGTTTTGGCTAGAGATTGAGAGCCTTGAGTTTTGGCTAGAGATAGAGTCAGTTAGATTATAATTAGACTTTGAGTTGAGTTATCTCGGGAGCTAGATTTATTACAAATAGATAGATTGCCATGCAGATATGCAGGAACAATTTGAAGAGCTGCATATAACTTTTTAATTAAAAAACTAAATATCTATCAGTTCATTATCAGTTGGCTTAGAAGCCAACATGTTATTGATTCTTTCGATGTCTCCAATTCCTTTATTAGAAACTAGCTGAAGTGCCCGGCGTTGGCCGTGGAATAAAAAGAAAAAAGTTTTATTTTTTAGCCTATTTCTGGCCCCAGGCTAATATTGCTCTAATATCGTCTTCCTATTCCACAGTTTTTAGATTCCACTGTATAATCTTCTTTTCCGCAGATTTATTTTAAATCACTTGAGAAGGTGAAAAAAGAAAAGCTTGTGAATAAGTGCATTGTGACCTTTAAGAATTCTAATCCAAGAAAGAATGATGCTTCAGCAACGCCATTACGGTCTTTATTCAGTCTTTTCTTAAATTTTAAATTAACTAGAAGTAAACAGGGTGGCCCACAAAGGATGAGACTATTAACTAGAAGTATACAGGGTGGTCCTCAAAGGATGAGACTATTAACTAGAAGTATACAGGGTGGCCCACAAAGGATGAGACTATTAACTAGAAGTATACAGGGTGGTCCACAAAGGATGAGATTATTAACTAGAAGTATACAGGGTGGTCCACAAAGGATGAGACTATAAAGACGATTGGAAACTCTAAAATATGATCCCAAGGTTAATTTGAATTTAGTCTTTAATGATTTGGAAAAGAAATAAACAAGTTTAAACACTAGAGTTTACACACTAGAGTTTACACACTAGAGTTTACACACTAGAGTTTACACACTAGATTTTACACACTAGAGTTTACACACTAGAGTGTACACACTAGAGTTTTAGTAGAAGTAAATATTCCATTTAGTGTATAGCGCCGATTTAAGGATAATTAGATAATGAGATGGATAAAAAGATAGATGTTACCGCCATGTTATTTCTATTGGTCCAGAAAAAACACCAAACACATGAATGAACCCTGATTGGATCAGGCGCTAATGGGCTCGGCATATAAGAGTGTACAGTTTCTATTGATTCAGAAAAAACACCAAACACATAACTGAACCCTGATTGGATCAGGCGTTAATGGACTCGGCATATAAGAGTGTACAGTTTCTATTGGTTCAGAAAAAACACCAAACACATAACAGAACCCTGGTTGGATCAGGCGCTAATGGATTCGGCATATAAGAGTGTATACAGTTTCTATTGGTTCAGAAAAGACACCAAACACGTGACTGAACCCTGATTGGATCAGGCGCTACTGGACTCGGCATGTATGAGTGTATACAGTTTCTATTGGTTCAGAAAAGACACCAAACACGTGACTGAACCCTGATTGGATCAGGCGCTACTGGACTCGGCATGTAAGAGTGTACAGTTTCAGGGAGTTTTGAATAGTATGAAACAGACAGTGTTAGTTCCGTTAAGCCGTCTCTGAACTATCATCCTCTGTGGGGAACCCTGTATTATGTCTATGGCAAAATCAACCTGTAAGTATTTTTGTTTAAAACAAAAATATAACAAAAATATAGATCTCATTCTTTATGGAGAACCCTGGTATGTTTGTTTACCTCTACTCTCTGTTTGTTATTGTTGAGTGAATTCACGTATTTATCGAGATGAGGTTGATAAATACCACTTTCAGGTTGATACGCTTTCTGCTCATAAGGTTGATATTGTTGTTGTTGTTGTTGTTGATATTGCTGCTGGGGGTACAATAGCTGCTTAGCGTACTGCATTTGTTGTTGTTGTTGTTGCTGTAAATAGCGCTGGGGGTACTCAATCTGGAAACAAAAGAATTAAATTTTGTTATAAAAAATTTAGTGATTACAATAATTAAAATATTTATGAAACTATTTTTTTTTTGGGTTCTCAGTTTTCACACAGACATTTGCTAGGTTCAGCATTCTTTTTAACCAAACATAGATAAAAAATTAATTTAATTTTAATATTCATTCAAATTTGAAAATTTTTTAAACAAATCCAAGAATTAAAGTTTACAGTGCACAGTGGTATTCTATACCGCTAATTTAACATTAGCGCGATGATTTCTAGATAACACTGCTTTAATGATATTAACCTTGAAGTGCTCAAGAATGTACATAATGATATTAACCTTGAAGTGCTCAAGAATGTACATAATGATATTAACCTTGAAGTGCTCAAGAATGTACATAATTGTTTCATAAAAATAAAATGTATAAAGTTGATTTTTTAAAAAGGAGTTGAGAGGGTAAAAAACTTATAAATATAAAACCAGCTAAAACAGGAAACTATTTTCTTCGCACTTTTAGAAAAAACATTTTCACCTGAGGCTTCTGATTTTTTTGTCGAAGGCTTCTTACTTCTGGGTCCAATTGTGCTATTTCCGGTTGTATGTTGCGGACTTCCGGTTGCAAGTTACGGACTTCCGGTTGCAAGTTCCGGACTTCCGGTCGGATATTCCGAACTTCCGGTTTCTGAATGAATGGCTTCACCTGACTCCTTGGAATTCTCATATCAAACTAAACACAGATAATGTTTTAAATAATAAGAAAGTACAATAAATTACTTCATTTTCTTTATTTGATTACAGTTTAGATACATTTTCTTTACTATATAATTTACAGAGTAAATACATCATCAGAAAACTAGAATAAAGTACGCATTACAAATTCTCCGGATTTGTACCACGAAATGTTTTATTCAGCATTTTCAAACTTTTATCTTTTTATTGTTTATTAATCGTTTAGGTTTACAGCTATTTAGATGTTAACAGTTTAATTACTTTACACTGTTGAAAGAAAGTTGGATTGAGCGATAATAACTAAAATTCATATTTTTATTTATTTCTGAAATTCTTAATAATTACTAAATGATTTTGACAGAGCTGGAAAATGGAAAAAACACACTTTCAATACTCATGTGTTTTTGATTTTTTTGATTTTTTTAATTAGAACTCACCTGGCTTTGATAGGAAGGTTGAGAGGCAGCATTAGCTGGCGGAGCTGGAGCCAGAGGTTTAGATACAACTCCTGGAGATTGAAATACCGGAGATAAAGCAGCTACTGATGGTGATACAGCTGAGGGAGGGGAGGGAGCAGCTTGAGCAGGTTCAGCTCCTTGAAGCTCAGCTCTAGGGGAAGAGCTGGAGCTGCTGCTGGGAATGGGATCCTGGAGATCAATACATTCAATTTTTGTTTATCAATTTACAAAAAAAACTTCGAATATTAAATAACACCTTATTCACCAAATTACGTTATTTCACTGACAGTACATAAAATAATATAATTTTACTAATCACTTAGTTATTTCACTGACAGTACATAAAATAATATAATTTTACTAATCACTTAGTTATTTCACTGACAGTACATACAATAATATAATTTTACTAATCACTTAGTTATTTCACTAATTTTAGTTTTTTAATAAAATATTATTTCTGGAATATTATGCATATTAAAGCCCTACCTCTAGATGATTAGGTTCCTGCATGACAGGACTAGCTGAGCTACTTCGGACAGGGGGTACAGGATTTAGAGCTCCTATTCCTAGAATTCTTGGGTTTTATCTAATATCTTTTAAAAATGAAAAAATTGAAATATCTGTATAATTTATCATCTAAAAGAAAAGTTAAATATGAAAATAGTTTTAAAGCCGTGCAAAGAAAGACCTGTAACCTTTAACCTATGCAGATGAAAGACAAACTTGCTATACGCTGTATTTCCACCGGCTAAAACCGGACTTCCTTATGAACATCTCTGATTTAAAAATGCAGCTAAACTTCCTTGTGGGATGATTTATTTCTCTAAAAAGATCGTTTAGCTTATGTTTACCTAAAGAGCATGATGTACGGCAGTTATCATTCTCATCAACGGATGAAAAAATTCCGTTCTTTGTTTTAAATCAGAAATACTTACGAGGAAGTCTGGTTTTAACCGGTGGAAATACAGTGTGCAATACCTGACCCTTTAAAGGGAGTGTTCGCGAAAAATGAAAGGGGGTATAGGCTTAATGCGATAAAAAAAGCGCTTTTGATCGCCCCTAATCTTACTTCTATCTGTTGCGTCTATAAGGAAAAATTGTTAAAAACGACAAAAACCGAATAACGTAGTGTCCATACAAATTCAGAAAGATCAAGGGGTGTAATCTGTCGTCTTTGTAATAAGGACAGAGATCAGGGACAGAAGGGAATCGGTGTTAGGTATAGATCATGTAGTGACATACAGTACAAAGGAAAATACGGGTTGCGGCATCTGTTTATATACAGTGTACACAGCTCTGGGGTATGTAAACAGTAGACAGTAAATTTTGAGCATCATGCGATACTGTTCTGTGGTTAACTGTACCACAAATGGTTAAAGCTTCTTTCAACGAACTGCTGTCAAAGTCAAGGACTCAAAGATGAGAGCAGAGTATCCTGAAACCCTGCGTAGTTTTGCACTTACTCTGCATTATTCTGCATGCGCTTACAGGTATTAAGCGTTTAACCATAAGCCATTTAATCTATGTAAGTAACGCTTGGGGGGGGGGCTCCAAAAAATTGCTGATATCACATGTTTCTACATTCTTTTTTCAAGGGCTTTTTATAAATGTGGTTTTTAGATCTGTAGCTTTAGTTTTAAAAAAAATAATGGGGTATTTCAGTTTTTTGTACCCCCCCCCCTTCAATTTTGCATTTTTTTTATTAATTTCTTCCTCTTGAGTTAAATTTTATATTATGTAGCTGAAAAACAAAAATGGACAAGAGTTGAAAACAGTGTGATCTAAGATTGTTTGTGTACTTTGAGTATTGATATGTGTTTATGTTTAGATATCTACGAGAAGTGTTTTACAGCACTTTACCACACGAAAGCATATTGAGGAAGTGTTGTGAAAATTTAGATGCCTCGCCAGAATTTACAGAGCAATTATAAGTTTAAAAAATTACATTTGAACTAATTGGTTGCTGAGATAGGGGAATCCAAGATCCAAGATGCAAAGATGAAAGACAAAATATTTTGTGCCAGATAGATATTAAACCGAATCTGCCTCAAAACTGTGTCTAATCTGAATGACAGAACACCCTGATATCTTTAACCCTATCTCTGAATATAATTACTAATTTACTTTTTGACAAAATCATTATTTTGGCATATGTCGAAAAACCAATATAAGGTTGAGAAATTTAAAATAAAATACATCAACAACATTTTTAGCATACTAGTTAGGGCCGAACCATGTGCCCCCCTCTTGTAGGATGAAATGGAGGGAGGACTCGCACGCATGGCTGCGTTAATAATTCTCAGTAATTCGAGCCCGTTTTATATCAAAAGAGCCATTTTGGATGTTTTGCGTCATGTTTTTCATATTGCTAAATATGCTAAATATTTTTTGAATATTTGAACTTTGCACAAGGAGTTAGAAAAACGACTTGACAAATGTACATTAATTGGTTTCTGCATTTATATTCATGCTTAAAAGGACGTCTACAAAAATCCCCCTCTTCTTTAAATGTACATGTTAACCTTTATGTTCAATTATAAGGGTTCTGTACAATTCCCCTGTACAAACTGTCCATCAGCATTCTATACTCTAACCTTTCTCCGAGAAAGATGCAACATTCGACTTAGACCGTAAAAAATCTATTTAATTTCAAACAAATCATTCAGATATTACAACCTATAGTCATCGATTATCTTTCGCCACATTATATATATAGTTGATTTTTCATAATATGTTTTAATAGTTATGATCTAAGAGTTACTTATAAAAACATTTATTCCTGTTTCAAGGATTTTTGGTAATGAAGACGACATTTTATTATTTTCAAGGAATGTTCGAAAACAAGTTGTAAGCTAAATATTATTTTAAAAAATAAAATCAAAACATATTATGAAAAATCAACTTTATACAAATGTGGCGAAAGATAATCGATGACTATAGGTTGTAATATCTGAATAATTTGTTTGAAATTAAATAGATTTTTTACGGTCTAAGTCGTATGTTGCATCTTTCTGAATTTGTATGGACACCACGTTCCTCGGTATTAGTCGTTTTTAACAATTTTCTCCTTATAGACGCAACAGCTAGCAGTAAGATTAGTAGCGATCAAAAGTTTTTTTTTTATCGCATTAAGCCTATACCCCCTTTCATTTTTCGCGAACACTCCCTTTCAGGACCCGAAGATGAAAAACCATTTTACTGGAATTATATAAACCCACACTTTTAAAACTGCGTAGGAAGAAATAAATTTACAGTAATATAAATTGACGGGAGCTCAAACCTGAATGATATCCAAGAATTGAAGGTTCACTATAGTTTCAGTAGAAGTAAATATTTCCATTTACTGATAGCGCCGATTGAAAGATTCATAACTCTAATTGGATAATGAGATAGATAGAAAGATAGATGTTTCTATTGGTTCAGAATAAACAACAAACACATGACTGAACCCTGATTGGATCAGGCGCTAATGGACTCGGCAAACAGGAGTGGGTTGACCCCATTTATTATTCAAATAACTATACCATTACCTTGAAAGTTAGTTTGGGCTGCACCGCTTAATCTTTGAATTTCTCTGATCTGTTCTTGGAGCCGGGCCTTCTCATCCTTATACATAGAAACAAAATAAGAATACAAATTGTTTCCCCCAGGTAAGGTTTCCAGCGAAAGAAAACTTTCGCGAAAAAATGCGAAAATTTTTGTACATATTTTGCTTACTTTTCTGTGAAAATGAATTAAGCGAAACAATAAATTTCGCAACACAATTCTCTGCTCTGAGAGCTCAGCATTAGAAGTTTTATCATATCATAATTAATCTTTTTTATCGCAAAATTTTTGCATTTTTTTCCCCAAAAAATTTCCCATTTCTTTCGCGGTATTTTCGCATTTATCGCGAAACATGCAAAACCATGCTAAATTTTGTGCGAAATTTTTTAACGATTTCCCCTTTTCGCTGAAAACCCAACCCCATCCCATCCTCATAATATAATTTTCCCTCTAATAAATTTGTTCGACCTGCAAACACTGAACGTCTTTTTTGAGTTTTGTTTACACTGACCTGTAATAACTGTAATTCTGTTTTGTGTACACAGACCTGTAATTACTGTAATTCTGTTATGTGGACATAGACCTATAATTTAACTTTAATTCTGTTTTATGTACAAAGACCTGTAATAACGGTAATTCTATTTGTGTACACTGACCTGTAACAACCGTTATTCTGTTTTGTGTACACTGACCTGTAACAATTGCAATTCTATTTTGTGTACACTGACCTGTAATAACTGTACTGTATCTACAGATTGCTGGAGCTGTTTGAACAGGGCAGAATATTGATCCTTGAATTTATCCCGATCTAAAAAAATATTTATAGAACTCTGTTTAAGTACAAAAAAAAAAGATTTCAGCATTAATGACCTACTCGTATATAATTCACCCTGGACTAACCAGGGCAAGATGTGTTTCGTTTCTTCAATTTGAATTTAAATTTGTGTATTTTTCTAGAATCTTTATTTTCACTTTTTTATTCAAAACGCCAACAAAAAGTATAAAATAGAAAGGGCTAAATTTATGTTTCAGAGGATAAATCGGGATCGAAAGTCACGGCTTGCTGGCCGATAAAGACAGAATCCCAGGAAACATTTTTACCGACCATATGTGCCGATGGCGAAGTTGGCGGGTAAAATATTCTGGACTTTAAATGTTCGCCATCGGTTTGTTGGAGACTAAATGTTTGCAGGGAGTGCAAAGGTGTAAGAGAGTACATCGATTTATTAAGGGCTATAATATGCGATATTAAGGGCTATAATATGCGATATTAAGGGCTATAATATGCGATATTAAGGGCTATAATATGCGATATTAAGGGCTATAATATGCGATATTAAGGACTATAATATGCGATATTTTCAACAGAGCCCAAAATTTAAGACAGGATATCGTTCTGAAAAACAATTTTAAAGCCCGGATTAGGCAGTTTTGTGAATATTTTTGTAATGAAATATATTTATTCATTTTGTTAATATTCTCAATTTTTTTTCGAATCACTTAAATCAAAATCTACACAAAAGTTAAGGCCCCAAAAAGGAAAGTTTTGTCCAACAATACTTTTTTAAATTTCGGGCTCAGCAGGTTCCATTGTGTACAACTGGTGTACACGCGAAAAAAAACAAATGTCTGTATTCAGGGATATTTAAGGATCCTTAGAATACGAAATACAAAACCTTCAAAAATAGACTCATTCATAATTTTCATGTTTTATGTTCAAAGATATAGTATTTAATTCTTTGAAAATTGTAAAACTTAATCCCTGAATGGGTATTATATGCCGTTAGATAGCAGTCAAAAACCTTTCGTGGAAACGTAGCATCTCGTTCCGGTACAACTATAGGCTTTCTTAGCCTTGCCCTTGAGAGCTCATGAGCAGACTGTATATATCTAGTCTTTTGGACCAAACTGTATACGAATTAGATAGATACCTGCAGTGAATACAGCAATACTATCTCGTAATTAGATAGATACCTGCAGTTAATACAGCAATACTATCTCGTAATTTCATAAGTTCAGAAGCCTTTGAGGAATTGGCATCATCCACTCTTGCCCTAGAAGATAATAAATAGAAAAAAATATAATAATAATAATAAATACATTAACAATAATATTTTATGCTCACCTCAATTTTTTATTTGCATTGTTTGCTTCCTCTATATCTGCTATTGCTTTTGCATTGGATTTACTAAAATTAATATTATTAAAGTAATTGATTGATTGATCGAGTTTCAAAGTAAGACGACTTGTTGGAAATCTAAAACATTTACATTCCGTGGTACAATAGTTGTAATATCATAGAAGTAACTTACAAGCAATTTCAATTGGCATTCTATTCTGTCAATTCTGTCAATTTCCTTTCTTTACTCTGCTTCATAGATTTTAAATTATAGATTGTGTGCAATCTTCATAATGTTACTCACCAAAGATAATGTTTCATATTTCATTAATAGTTTTATTCAACTACAAAGCACGAGATAAAACAAATCAAAAATCACAATTTACTATGTAGTTTGGACCCGCCTAACCAGAGTAGGTTGTTTTATATGGTTGGCCCACTATATGAACGAATGAGAATTGTAAATAAATACATGGGTATACACTGTACAGTGTATATTTTAAACATAATAATGATTGTTAAATCAGGAGGTGGTGAGGAAGTAAAAGGGAAAGGGAGGGTACTCAGCTGACAGAGAGTAACATAAGTTATTAAAATCATGTTTATGAACTAAAGATTTAGTTTCTTTAAGCTCTAATTCAATCGAATTCCATATTTTTGGAAAACATTCTAGCGTTTTAAAGAGAACCCGTTCAAAATTATATGATTTTGATCTATTTGGTTCAGCTTAAGAATCAAAAATATCATGGAAAGAAGTTGGCCGTTTGAATGTTTGATATGGACATGTCATATTTACAAGGAGGACCACTTTCATTTACACCAAGCATGATTATCTCAACACATTATCCTATTACAAAACCTTGATATCAAATCTTAAAGCTTGATTATCTCAACACATTATCCTATTACAAAACCTTGATATCAAATCTTAAAGCTTGATTATCTCAGAAGAGTAATGACTACAGAAGTCAGAACTTCTGTGTTTGTGGATCTTGGGATCAAGTATTGATCTCCATATTCTTGGAATCAAGTATTGATCTCCATATTCTTGGGATCAAGTATTGATCTCCATATTCTTGGGATCAAGTATTGATCTCCATATTCTTGGGATTAACAATAATCCACACAGAAGCTTCGACATCTGCAGTATGAAAAATCATCTTACCTGAGAGTTTTATATTTGCTTTCTAACTTAATGTTAGATTCTGATAACAAGGCAAATTTTTCCTCAACTTTCTCCTTTTCTTTCTCTAGTTTTCCAACCTGTATAAAATAGAGTATATTGACCTCTTCTAAGTCCTAATTCACTAAATGTAGACGCTAGGAAACTTTGTATGCAGGCTGGGATCTATAATGAAGGGGGAGAAATAAACTTACATATTTAGTTAAACAAAGAGAGAAACAAAAATGGCAACTACTCCCGAACCTGGTAAAAGCATACTTACTGGCTTTTTTTCTACCTTAGCCAACAATGGAGTCTTCCGGGGAAAACTGTTGGCTTCCCCAGGGTAATTGTAAGCTGTATAAAACAGTGCAGATAAATGTGTTAAACCTTAAATTCCGTTTTATATATATAGTTGATATTTCATAATATATATCACTTTTGAAAACATTTATTCCTGTTTCCGAGGATTTTTGATAATGAAGACGACATTTTCATATTTTCCAGGAATGTTCGAAAATCCAGCGCCAGCGAAAAATAATTTTTTTTTAAATCAAAAATATTAAGAGATATTACCTATATACGAATTCGTCGAAAAAAAATCGATGACTATTGTTTGTAATATCTGAATGATTTGTTTACGATCCGAGTTGAATGTTGCATATTTCCGAATTTGTGTGGAAGCTGCGTTCTTCGGTGTGAGTCGTTTTTAACAATTTTCTCCTTATAGACCCAACAGATAGAAGTAAGATTAGTAGTGATCAAAAGCGCTTATTTTTCGCCGTAAACCTATACCCCCTTTCATTTTTCGTGAACACTCCCTTTAATCTAAGTGTTAAACTATGGGACAATTTTTGGAAAAAATGGTCATATCCACCCTTACAACTGTTCTCAAGCTTTCTTTGGTAAAGTATAAAAATAAATTTGACAACTTTTTATTATAATTTTAAGCCTTCTCAGATTTTTTCGTCTCTATGTAAATCAAATCACTAATATAAACCAGAAAAAAGCGTCAAATACATCAAGATTGGTATAAAAATATCTGAAACGTCAAATACATCAAGATTAGTATAAAAACATAAGAAACGTCAAATACATCAAGATTGGTATAAAAATATCAGAAACGTCAAATACATCAAGATTGGTATAAAAATATCAGAAACGTCAAATACGTCAAGATTGGTATAAAAACATCAGAAACGTCAAATCGTTTCCTGAAACTTAATAATTTCAACAAAACCCGCTTTTGTGGATAGATATTTGTCATAGTACAGGGTGCTCCACAAAACATGGGAATTCAGTGACGAATTGGATGTCGTCTTTGTTATGAATTAGCATTGTAATACCTGATTTCACAAGCCATAGTATTATTATGTCTGCTAGAGTTTATTTTATGAAAAAGGTAAGAGTGTAAAGATGTGTCTATAATGTCTCCGCAAGATGAACAGTGAAGACGGACAAGTTTACTCTGTTTGTAAACTACAATTTTCTTGTTTTATTAAGTACAACCGTATACAGTTAAAACATAAACAAATAAATTTTGAACATAACAAACGAAACTCTTACAGATGACAGCTTTCTCCGTAGGTATCACTATACTAAATCAAAGAATTGTTTTAAAAGACGATATCGAATTCGTCACTGAATTCCCGTGTTTATTGGGACACCCTGTATCAAAAAACGAGTTTTTATCCTTAAATCAAACAATTTCAAAAATATGAAAAAACGGACAAATGGAAACATTACAATTGATGTAATGTATACTGTCCTAATTACCTTCTCTTTACAATTAAGATCTAGTTTATCTAGAGTTTGTTTTAATTCTCTTAAACTGCCCTCGTTGTCGTCCAAGTCTCTTTTCAGCCTCTCCTTCTCCATAGAAACAGCCTTCAGTCAACCAATCAATCATTTTTCATTTACCAATGTAGTATTGGGTACCCAGCGTTGCCCAGGGTAGTCATAGCTAGTCCCCCACCCGCGCTTTGTCGTAAATTACGATTTTAGTTATTTTTCCATATAAAAAACCGACCCACTCAGCTTAGAATCTCAAAACCAAGCTAAAAACATTTCCTTGGGCCTACTGAGTTCCTTGATAAAAATTTGGTCCAGGGGTTCAGGAGTAATTGGTCGGAAAACAACCAAACAGACAAACAGATTTTATATAGATATAAGAATAAGTTCATATGAAATAAAAATCGAATTTAAATTTAAATTGATTTTATTCCTTGAGTTGATCTGATTGCTTATCAACCATCATTTGATAGCTGTGAACTGAACTCGTCATTAGAGATATCTTTCAAATAATTGCAGATTTTAAACTTGATATTAGAGATTTCTAACAAATAGTTACAAATAAAAAATTTTTCATAAGAGATATTTCTAAAATAACTTTTACAAAAGTTAAGATTGAACATATTAGATAATAACCGGTAATAATAATAATAATAACTTAAATCAATCCTTACCTTATCGTTAAAAGATTTCATGACAAGGCCCCCAAGAAAAATAATAGCAAATCCTATGCCATAAACAAGATAGGCCTACACGGATATATATTTGTCATGTATTATAATATCGATAATTTGTATTTTAATATCTAGAATAAAATTATTAATTTTTATGACAAATTCACATCCCTTTCTGGTATTTCGGAAGACACTGACGTTAATCATTTTGTGCGATTTGAGGGGAAAAGTGAAAAATTTAATTATTTCATTCAAATCTGAAACAAACATATAAATGATATAAATAATTTTAAAATGAACACTATTACGAACTGGATAGACAATACCATCAAAAAAACATTTGGTTTGAAATGGTGACAAAATTCCAACTTTTAAAAGATTAATTCAAATCGTTAATCTCGGTAACGTATTCAAACACAGTAGAAATATCTTGATTTCTTCAACTATGAAAGAAAGGTAACGGTGAAGACTGAAGACGAGAAGACACTAACCAAAGATTCTCTCTTGACATTGGAGGGTTTCCCGGATCCCTGGCTTCTCATTGGTCAGAACCATTAAACCACGCTTTCCTATTGGTGCAAGAAAGTGAAAATATCAGCTGTTTGAACCATCATCAGCTGATCATGTAAACAAGAGTTTCCTCCAACTGAGTAGCCAATACAGGGATTTCATCCCCCCAACAAGCATATTTGGGAAATTTAAATTGTTCAGGGATTTCTGCTTTGAACTGAAAAAAATGAATTCAAACCTATCGGACAACTCTATTCCCAAATCTTCGTTCTCATGGGTTTGGGGAGAGTTCTTTGAAATCTAGAAGAAAGAATAAATTGATGATATGACAGCATACTAATTCCTCTAGGAAAAATAGATAATTTTTCTAGTATATAGCTTATATCGTTAAACCTTATACATTTGATAATTAGAAAAGTTGATTTTAAACTTTTTATCTTGTCTATCTAACATCTTATCCCTATCTTTCCAAATTTATGGATAATATAGTCTCAAAAAAAGTGACAAATAAGGAAGAAATGGGGTCCGCTAAGCAGTATTCTAGTTCACCCTCAGGCAACTCGAGCCGAATTTCACTATATTACACTAACATGAAGCTCGCACAATAAAAAATTCACAAAATAATCTTAATTCAGAAAGAAAATATGCACAGAAATATTTATGTGATTTTAACTGTTCAAAATAGTATTACACAAAGCAAATTTTACATACGCTTATTTAGCTGAATTTTCAAATGCAATTCGAAAAGTACATAGTGATTAACAGAAAACTCTAAAATAGGAAGACGACATTAAAGCAAACTTAAGTGTATTTGATTGTTAAAAAGTAAATAGTTTACTAAACTCCTATTGAATCATTAATCAAGTGAAATTGGTCTGTTTACACTTCACAATTGCTGTGTACGATGCTTATTGGATTATTTAAAATAGTCACTCGATTAGAAAAGTAGTCTTCCTATTTCAGAGTTTTCTGGTTTTCACTGTACTTAATTTGGGCTGCCTCAAGATTTCAAATAATGATCAAAAAGAATACGTAGAATGTAAATAAACATTCAAGAGAGGGGGTGTTATTTTAATTACAAAGAGGGGGGGGGGGTCATTAGAATTGAAATTTGTTTGAACCAAAAACGAGAATATTATTCCGTCTCCATTGCTTCTTCGGCTTCTTCTATTTTATCAGTATCTTCTTCCATGTTATCTTCTTCCTCCTTCTCTTCTTCTTCTTCCTTCTCCTCTTTATCTTCTTCCTTCTCTTCTTCAACTTCTTTTTCCTCCTCTTTCTCTTCCTTCTTGTCAGTTCCCACTCCCTCATTTTCCTTTTCTCCTCGACTATCTTCGCCACCTGTCACACTGTCTCCATCCTAAACAGTTTTTGTGTGTGTTTATGTCCTACATAAAACCACTAAATTTGTCATCAAACTATTTAAACAGGGTTACCCACAAAGGATCACACTTTAAACGACTGGAAGGAATTTATACTGTCTGCTTTTATATATTTATGATTCTCTTCAAACATAACCTTTTTTTCACTGCCAAATCATTAAATAACCCATTTAAAAAACCAAATTAAATGCAGAAGACTCGATTCAAACTTGGCCATTTTAAAAGTTTCAAGTCGTATTTACAGTCTTAAAAGTGTGTGTAACCCTGAACAATGGAGATAAATATTTTCTTCATTATGATTTATTTAACAGAATCTTTTTTGTTCTAATATATCTCTCTTTTATAGTTTACTCAGCTAGCTTTCCATTTTCATAATGCAGTCATTGTTGTTTACATTGTACTCAATATATATAAGACTGTAAAGACGACCTGAAAATCTTAAAATCTAACGATCCCAAGTCTTCCGCCTGGAATATAATCTCTTTATAGCAAATTAATTTAACAGCGAAAATAATAGGCTTGCAATTACAAGGACTTATAAATATAAGGAAACAGAGTAAAAATTTAGTACAGTAGTCTCTTAAAGTCTCGTTCTCTGTGGGTAAACCTTTAACACCAAAGTCTTTAATATACGATCTGTCACGACAATTGGGACTATATAGAAAATTTAATTAAGAAATTGATAGTAAAATTGATTATAATAATTAAAATAACCATACGGTAATAATGTTTAAAATTGTTGGGTTTAAACAAGGAAGGTTAAATTTTATCAAATCTTTAACTTTATCTGTAACTCGCTGTTTTGTTAATTTAATGTTTGATTTTAAAGTTAATGAAAAATAATAGTTTTCAAGAAAATACATTTTTTCTTAAAAATTTTACCTCTTCCGCTGTATCTTTTCCCTCTTCTTCCTCCTCTTTCTCAGACTTTTCTTAAGATCATAAAATGTTTAAAATTTGTCATCAAACTTAGAGACACTAGATCTACTTGAACGATGTGTTAAATTCCTTGAATCCATTACAAATTTCGAACATAATAAAATTTTTACGAAACACAATTTATTTTGAAATTTTATCATTTATTGTAATCAAAAACCTTTCACGTAAAATGAGAGAAGCCAATATAAATTACTGTATAAAAGAGAAAAGGAGAAAAAATTATGTTAAATAGGTCAAATTGTCATCAAAAGTCACAGTTTTCTGGGATGAGGACCGAACCGATAAATCTGCGTGACATGGCATCTAACCCCTCCCCCTCTCATTTGTTCCTCTTCATTTAGTAAAATTAAACTACCTGAATCTGGAGCTTTATAATCCTCGTCTTCACTGTTATCCTCATCTCCTCCAGCGTCTCCAACATACTCATAATCTTCGTCAGGATCATCTACATCCTCCTCTTCTACCTGCCGGAGCATAGGTCCACTCTGCTAAACATCAATTTATCAACTATTCAATATTATATCTACATTCAACATCCTTCTCTTCTACCTACCGGAGCCTTGGTCCATTATCACTTTTGAAAACATNCTCCCTTCAGAAATTATGTTCCTCCCCAGAAGTTAGGAATGTTTGCGCGGAGTGGAATTATTTAAGGGCTGTATTTGCTGTATTAGGGAATCAAGGGTTTATATTTTCTTATAAAATCATTCCCTCCCTTCAGAAATTATGTTCCTCCCCAGAAGTTAGGAATGTTTGCGCGGAGTGGAATAATTTAAGGGCTGTATTTGCTGTATTAAGGAATCAAGGGTTTATATTTTCTTATAAAATCATTCTCTCCCTTCAGAAATTATGTTCCTCCCCAGAAGTTAGGAATGTTTGCGCGGAGTGGAATTATTTTAGGTCTGTATTTGCTGTATTAAGGAATCAAGGGTTTATATTTTCTTATAAAATCATTCCCTCCCTTCAGAAATTATGCTCCTCCCCAGAAGTTAGGAATGTTTTCGCGGAGTGGAATTATATAAGGTCTGTATTTGCTGAATTAGGGAAAATAAATGATTTTTAAGGGAAAACAAAATTAATTTATGGATAAAGAGTAATAAATTAAAAAAAATATGGAAAATGTTCTTTGGCTGATGTCAAATTTTTCATTCCCCTCCCCCCTAGCGCATCAAAGATAATTTTCTGGGGAAAGGGGAGGTTATTTCATGTAACCCTTCGGAGTAAACATGATTTAGATAATTTAATTTGATTTCGCCAACACTAACAGGCATCATAAAAATTCATAGACAACACAATCACAGGTCCTTTCACATTTTCCTTTTACAAGTAACAAGTGAACGAAAAAAATGCTAAGAACCATTTTTTTGTGTGCAAACAGTCAAGTTAAATCAGACAACCAATTATAAAGAAAGTTAAAGAGAACAGACCTCTTTAGCTTTTCGTGGTTTGGTTTTGCTCTTATTCTCAGGATAAGGTTTAGTTTTCTCCTCCATTTCTTTCTCTTCTTCTTCTTCTTCTTCATCTTCTTCTTGGTCTTCTCCTTCTCCTCCTCCAACCCTGGCAGCTCGTGCTTCCTGCTTACTACTGTAGGCTGACCTGCAGAGAAAACAGTGGATATATATAAAGCGGAGTGATTCTCTTAATCCTAAACATTATCTTTGTCTAAAAAATTGACCACAAATAGTATCTTGGTTAATAAAATCTCCGCAAATGAGACGTAACACAATCTACGTATGAACCCCTAAGCGGGGTTTCTAATAAAAATAAAGACGCAAATTGACAAGCATTCAAATTTTAGTGTACAAAGATATAAGTAAATCTTAGACTTCTGAGAGTAGAGGTAGTTGTAAGGCCCCCCAGGTCAAATTTTAGCCCGAAACCTTTGGTGATAAAAATCATGGGCAGATTGTAATTGTGTTACAAAAATAAATCCTGAAGTAATGAAAGTTTTAGCAAATTTTAACAACTAAGTGTTTAATAGCTGCAGCGCTCAGCCCCCTAGCCAACTCAGTCGCAGCGTTTGGCCCAGATATAATCCCAATCTAACCTTACCCACGATATAGATAACATTAGCAGATTGTAATTGTACAACAGTTAAATGTTAACAAAATGTGTGATTGTCTGTTAAATCCTTCGTGGTTTATTACTTACTATATGCATGGATAGCGTTTAATGATAGATAGATAGATGGAATTGATCACGTGACCTAATGATTGGATTTGAGAGTTATGGGGGTTACCAACACTACCCCTCTATAACGATTAAACCGAAATCCTATCTTATACAATAAATTTGTAATTGCTGAGTTCCCCATTTTGCCATTAAATTAGAATGAGACAAAAGTTGTAAGTTCATCGTCGAAAAATACTAACAATCCACCACCAATTTATATCAAATATAGTGTAAACAATAAATATGTAACTTCTTTTAGAGGTGTTTAAATATTTTCTCCTGAAACGCTTAATTTTGTATGTTTTTGTTATATTTCATAGATAAATAATTTTTTACTTTTTAATTTTTTTTTACAATTTACTTTAATCGTTTATGATATGAAGCGAACTCTAAAACCTTATTCCTTTTATAGATTTTGAACCCGACAACTTGTTTCAGACCTGCAGTTGTTTATAGCAAGATGTTTCGCCATCTTGTGTCCGCTCATAGATTTGTATCCGCAGCAACAGAACAGCGGAGAGTCAAGGGAAACCGGTTTTCCAAGATTAAACTCCGGTTTAGCCTAAATATATGGTTTTAATTAGAGTTATAGCAGAACAGAGCAGAGTCGAGAGAAACTGGTTTTCCAAGATTAAACTCCGGTTTAGCCTAAATATATGGTTTTAAATAGAGTTCTAACAGAGCAGAGCAATGTCAAGAGAAACCGGTTTTCGCAGATTAAAATCCATATCAGCCTAAATATATGGTTTTAATTAGACTGAGTTTTGACAGAACTGATTAGTCAACTGAAACCACTCTTATCGGGGTAGGCTGCTTAATCTGTTTTAAGTATCATTTATAATTTATAAGTGGGTTTCCCAAATATATCTGGAATTCAACTTAATATATTTTCACTTAAATTTTACGTAGTGTACACTGTACATGTGGAGTTAAATCTAGTTAAGGCTCGATCTGTTTTAAAACCTCTGACTTATAAGATACAAGCTGAAGGACCCTACGGCGTTGCCCGTGGAAAAAATTAAATATTATTTTAGAATAGATTTTTTAACCTATAACACCCCCTTGCCACCCATAAGTGTCCACAAAAATTTTTAGCCCAATCGGTCCAGCCGTTTGGCCGGCTATACGTAACATATATATACGAATGTCTTGTTTTATTGTATAGATTGTTTAAAAAAATCTTTATCACTATTTTACCTTAGAATGGAAGAGTTGTGAGTGAACACTCATCGCCTTATTGCAACAAGTTGAATATCTGCATTTAGTGCAGCAGAGGTAAGCCATGTAGTGGCCTGTGCTCGTCATTGTTCTAAAATTGATATATTAAACATTAAAAAGCGGAATATAGGTTTATTTAGGAGGCTTAAAGCAGGGTTCATCCCAGAGAAAATATGGGTCAGTTTACACTTAACCTGACCCAATTGACCTGCCACTTTCAGATTTGAAACACTGTCAAATTTTGGCAAAAATCCGCCATTTTTTGAGAAAAATCGGCCAATTTAGGGATAAACTCTACCAAGTATCAGAGGAAAATGCAATTTTCGCCAAAAATTTCTGCCATTTTTGCTTTAACATAACCTGCCACAAACAAAAACTTAGGAAGGAACCCTGGCTTTAGGACAGCCAAAATACAGGCTGTATAGTGTGTAGTAGACAACTTAGATCCAGTCCAGACAAAATTAAACGAAAACTATACGTTTTCTGCTAAAATCGCTAAAAAATAAGAAAGGGTATCTATTTTCTTAAAACCTCATGAACATCTTTTTTACCCAGATGTTTGTTTCTTTGTAGGGTAACAAAAAAATGCATACTCTTTAAGGTAAACTTAGATAATCAAATCAAGGACATAATCGATTAATTACCTTTCGCATTCGCAACACTTTTCCCTGTCTGCATCATAGATCGCCATATCTTCAAGATTAACGGCAGCAAAGGCAGCTTGCTGGGGTATCATACTCTTGCCAGATCCTTAAATATTAAACAAATACATATAATGTCGATTGTCGAATCTGTAAAACATTATTTCGACATAAGCCTAATTAAAATTGAATGTAAATAGTACAAATTGTAAATCAGTACATCCTTGTTTCCACCCAAGGTTGCTAGCAGACTAAATTTTCATTCGTGTCTCGCAAACTTTGTCGCAAAAATTAATTTTACCGAAAGGAAGCGAAAACGATGCAGATGGGAAATATTTAGAATTATCTTTTTTTTTGAAAATGCGCCAATTCGAAAAGAAAAATCCGCCAAAATTAGAAAATTATTTTAAATGGCCGACTTCCAAATCAATAGTTAAAAGCTAAATCTATTTACAAGAAAAAGAGGCGTGAAGCGTCCTTAAAGCCTAGTTCGTAATATTTGGTCCCAGCTCCACCTACTGAGATAACTAAGAACTAAATCTCCACCAGTTTCTAGGATCCCAAGAAGCTACCTGTTCTCCTTGATGCAAGCTTGATAATATTCTTCTCATCAGGTTTAGGCATCTTAATGGAAGCATCTGCTGAGCTAACTTGGAATGGTTCAATCTCATCAAACTCCTTAATATCAATAGTATCAATTAACAATATTCACCTTGAATACTGTATGCAAGCCTGGAATCCCTGGCTGATTAAAGATAAAGAAATCCTGGAAAAAGTACAGAAAAGAGCTATTTATCATGACTTCTGGACTCTCAGAGAAACTGAGAGAGGTTGGACTCACTAGTCTGGAGGAAAGCAGGAAGAGGGAAGATATGATTCAAGTCTGGAAAATCCTTCATGGACATGATCATGTGGATAAAAACAAATGGATTAGCTCAGCCTATGTACCTGGGGAAAATGAAAGACAAACCAGAATGTCCAGTGATCCTTTGAATCTGAAGTTACCTGTTGTGCACACCGAAATACGAAGAAACTTTTTAAGCAGTGTTTCGGATCCGTATCATTTTGATGCGGATCCGGATCCGCATCCGTGATGATGGATCCGGATCCTGACTCTGATACGGATCCGGATCCGAGGTAACTTTTGATTCTGTGAATCGGATTTTCCCTTTTAAATGTTATGCAAGGTTATAATTTATAAGCTATGGTACTCCTAAAGTTAAAAATGTCGTCATTACTATTTTATAAATGTAAACATTAAATTATTAAAGATAATTTTGAAAAATTTTCGTCATGTAAATAATACATTTACGAACCATTTTTTATTTATTTATTCCATGGTTTTGGTTAATTTTTGGCGCTACCCGGATCCATATCAACGTTTCCTGATACGGATCCGGATCCGGATCCGACCAAATGATACGGATCCGACCGGATCCGGATCCGAAACGCTGTTTTTTAGTGCAAGAGTTATCAATATATGGAATGATATTCCATATGAAATCAAAAGTGCTGGAAACCTGAACATTTTCAAAAACAAGCTCGATAACTGGCTGAATTTCTGAACGGCCAATGAAGTCGGAAAAGAGATGTTTTAAATTATCACACCCGTGATATATAAACATAATTACACCAATTAAACCAATTAAATTTAAGTGCTCTCATTTTAAAGTAATTATACATTATCAAATCAAATCATGGAAAGGTTCTTCAAGCTCTACTAATACTATTTAGTTTCTAGGTTTAACTAAACTAATTGCTTTCCTGGATCCTAGGTTTAATTACTTTTCAGGATCCTAGGTTTAATTATTTTCCAGGATCCTAGGTTTAATTACTTTTCAGGATCCTAGATTTAATTACTTTGCAGGATCCTAGGTTAAATTACTTTGCAGGATCCTAGGTTAAATTACTTTGCAGGATCCTAGGTTAAATTACTTTGCAGGATCCTAGGTTTAATTACTTTGCAGGGTCCTAGGTTTAATTACTTTGCAGGATCCTAGATTTAATTACTTTGCAGGATTCTAGGTTTAATTACTTTGCAGGATCCTAGGTTTAATTACATTGCAGGATCCAAGGTTTAATTACTTTGCAGGATCCTTGGTTTGATTACTTTCCAGGATCCTAGGTTTTATTACTTTTCAGAATCATAGATTTTATTACTTTGCAGGATTCTAGGTTTAATTAATTTGCAGGATCCTAGGTTTAATTACTTTGCAGGATCCTAGGTTTAATTATTTTGCACCGATCCTAGGTTTAATTACTTTGAAGGATTCTAGGTTTAATTACTTTGCAGGATCCTAGGGTTAATAACAGTGTAGGATTCTTGGTATAATTACTTTGAATGATTCTAGGTTTAATTACTTTGCAGGATCCTAGGTTGAAGAACTTTGAAGGACAATGGGACTAGTCACTTTGCAGGATTCTAAGACTAATCACTTTGCAGGATCCTAGGTTTAATTACTTTGAAGGATTCTAGGTTTAATTACTTTCCAGGATACTAGGGTTAATAACTGTGTAGGATTCTTGGTATAATTACTTTGCAGGAATCTAGGTTTAATTACTTTGCAGGATCCTAGGTTTAATTACTTTGCAGGATCCTAGGTTTAATTATTTTGCAGGATCCTAGGTTTAATTACTTTGCAGGATTCTAGGTTTAATTACTTTCCATGATCCTAGGGTTAATAACTATGTAGGATTCTTGGTATAATTACTTTGAAGGATTCTAGGTTTAATTATTTTCCAGGATCCTAGGTTGAAGTACTTTGAAGGACAATGGGACTAATCACTTTGCAGGATTCTAAGACTAATCACCTTGCAGGATCCTAGGTTTAATTACTTTCCAGGATTTTAGCGGTGGGGGGTCGTCCGTTCAATGGCCCCACGAGGTTGCTCAAGAGAAGCTTACTGGATATGGCTGTGGCTAACGTTCTTGATATGAGGAAAAATATGTCTTAGAACGGTGGCACAAAGTGATTGAATACTCTAATACTCCATATAGCTTTAACTTGACGCTTCCCTGGATTGGAGGGTACACAATCGTCACCAGGTTGAGTGACTAGGCTGCTTCCGGTAGTATCGTGCTTTGCTTTGAACTGTCATAGGGGTAAGCAGCGTTTCGGATCCGGATCCGGATCCGTATCAGGAAAAGTTGATATGGATCCGGGTAGCGCCAAAAATTAACCAAAACCATGGAATAAATAAATCAAAATGGTTCGTAAATGTATTATTTACATGACGAAAATTTTTCAAAATTATCTTTAATAATTTAATGTTTACATTTATATAATAGTAATGACGACATTTTTAACTTTAGGATTACTATAGTTTATAAATTATAACCTTGCATAACATTTAATAGGGAAAATCCGATTCACAGAATCAAGAGTTACCTCGGATCCGTATCAGAGTCAGGATCCGGATCCATCATCACGGATGCGGATCCGCGGATCCGGATCCGCATCAAAATGATACGGATCCGAAACACTGGGGGTAAGGATAGTAGGGCGCCGGGTGAACGGGTTTTGGGCACTGCGGTCCGATGATCCCACATTGGGGTCTACCAAAATCTTTCTTTCATTTCATTTCAAACAGCTGACTTTAGTGCAATTGTAAGTTTGTCCAATCGGCCTTTAGTCCTATTGATAAAGTATTGTACGTTTATAAAGATGGGTGATTAGTACCTTATACGAGACGTGATCCTTCTCCAGGTGAACTTTAAGTTGAAGTTCTTTCAGAAACACGAGAGAACATTTCTTACACTTGAAGTTCTTCTTCTTAGTGTCCTAAAATTGAAAAAAGTCGGAAAAAATCCTAAATAGATCCTAATACTCGTGAGATGTATGTCACAAAATGTCGTCTTTGAAAAAAATGTCCAACAGATTTGTTGTGTTTTACGAATATATTAAAAATGATATTTAACAGATTTAAAATTGCAAGCTTTCTAAGCTTTAACACTTTTGATATTAAGTAAAAAATTATAATATCAGTTTTAAGTTACTACATTAGAGGCATAAAAAGAAACTAGATTCAAATCGATCATGAAATTTACAACAAAAGTTAGATAATTACGTTTCATTAATTCAAAAATAAGTATCAGGGGCGTACTCAGGAATTTGTCCAGTGGGGAATTTTTTTCTATGGGGGGGGGGGAGGTCAGCACCAATGGGAAAAATCTCCTGGAAACCATTAATTGAAAGCAAATACCTCGTGTTTCTGAAGATGTTCCATGAATGAGACAGCACTAGACGAATTGTATCCCTACGCCAACAATCAGTTCAAAATGAACTAAATTCAATTGAGAAATCAAATAATCAATTAAGCACATCTAATTCAAAAATCAAACATGATAATTTTCAAAAACATACCGGGGGCTTAAAATAATGTTTTAAAAAATCTATTCTTAAAACTCAGAAATTTTGGTTTGAACTATTTTCCTTTTCGTTTGTCAAGCTGTAGGTTTTCAAGCACAACGGGCACTGAAGCTTATCTAGAAAAGAAAATCATAAAAATTCATATTCAGTTATTCGACAATTAATAAATTCATGAATAATGTAATGCGATCTATATCTATATCTATATCTATATCTATATCTATATCTAAATCTATATCTGTATCTATATACGGGCACTCAGTGGACGGCGTTCATATCAATACAATGAAGCAGACTTTTCTATCTACGTTTTGATTTCTAACAAGCATTTTTTCCATCAAATTACAAGTTTACAAGTAAGTAAAGAGATGCTACTAATTAACAGCTTCTCTTTGCTTCCATGTTCATGTGTATCCATTCTGTAAGCTTGGTTTGAAATAAAAAAATCATCTTCATTGTATTGAAATATACGACGACGACTGTAGTTTTTTAAAACTTTGTATTTCCTAAATTAGAATCTATTCTACACAACTGTACAGATCCGAAAGTTTCCATAAACTCTAAAATTTTACCTGTTCGGTCGTGCATTTCGTGAAAATGGTCGATCAGCTCTCGATGTATTGAACTTCTGAACTCACAAACCTTTGAAGATAACATATATAACAAACTCTTCCCATTACAAATAAATCTTTATCAGATATTCCAGAAAATTTTAACCCCTATCTACCCCCCCCCCCAGAGTGGTGACGCTCTTATTTAAGGAAAACACTAGTTGATGAGAAAAGAGAATGTGGTCGGAAAAGTCACAGTATGTAACCATGTTAAATGATTTGCCGCAACTTTTCCCAATCTCGGGCATTGGAAACCTAAATTGAAGGGAACTTAAGTCGGATTTACAAGGATTAAAGGGAACTTAAAGGGAGTGTTCGCGAAAAATGAAAGGGGGTATAGGCTTAGTGCGATAAAAAAGCGCTTTTGATCGCTACTAATCTTACTTCTCTCTGTTGCGTCTATAAGGAGAAAATTGTTAAAGACGTCTCATACCTAATAACTTAGCGGCCATACAAATTGAGAAAATTGCAACATACGACTTGGACTGTAAACAAATCAATTTAATTTGAAACAAATCATTCAAATATTACAACCTAAAGTCATCGATTATCTTTCGCCACATTTGTATACAGTTTATATTTTATAATATTTTTTTTCAGATAGAAGTAAGATTAGTAGCGATCAAAAGCGCTTTTTTATCGCATTAAGCCTATACCCCCTTTCATTTTTCGCGAACACTCCCTTTAAGTCGGATTTACAAGGATCAAAGGGACTGTAGACGAATTTTAAGTGTCACTTTATGCCAAGGTAGAAATATCACAACGGTACCCTAGAACCCATTATAAAGTGGAAAAAATTAGGTCTTAAAAGTGTTAAATTGAAAATTGAAAATAATAATTCTTTTGAAATTATAAACATCATGATAACATATTTATACCAGGTCAGACAAGGCTTTCCAGGGTATTGTTGTGAATCAGACACTGTCATCTTTGCATGGAGGCTCCATTGAAATTAGCTTACAGTCCCTTTAATTGCAAATGTTGTTATTTTTACAAATATTTTATTATTTTCATATTCTTACCTGGCAGCAGTAGGGCATCTCAGCTTTAACATGCTCCTTTAACATATGCATGATCAGTCTGTTCACAGTTAGACAGCTGAAGTTACAGATCAGACAGTTGTTAACCATATTCTAAACATTATAACAGTTGATGTTATAGATCAGACAATTGTTAACCATATTCTAAACAGTATAACAGTTGATGTTATAGATCAGACAGTTTTTAACCATATTCTAAACAGTACAACAGTTGATGTTACAAATCTGACATTATGCATAACAATGTTTCTGTAACAAATTTGAGAGACGTGGTCCATATTCTGAACAGTTAACACAGTTGCTGTAACAATCTGACAGACGTGATTACGTAATAACTGAAATGATAAATATGTTATGTAGTGAGTAAAAATCATTGTTTTCTATTTGTGCATAATTTTGCATATTTTTTTCTAAGTATCTCTAGCAATATTAATCTCAATGTGGAAGTATTTACATTGTGTTAGATAAACCAGATCAACGGCAGCTGAAGTATCCCTAGCAATATTAATATTAATATAGCAGTATTTACATTGTGTTAGATCAACCAGATCTGGGAACTTTAGAATGGATAAACTTTAATCCCGACTTCTTGATCCGAATATCCATTGTGGAAACTTTTAATTTTAGTCCTAATCCACTCTTTTTCTGTCTCCTTGGATATCCGTTAATTGTTTTCTCCAATGAGAATATTTCTGTTCTCTCATTGGTTGCCTGATTTCTCTGATTGGCTGCTACAGTTTCTCAGACGATCAAATATTAATTCGAATTTTATCGTTTTTCATACACTTTTAAGATAATATAATCTTGCAAGACTATGTTAATCTGGAGATTAAGAAAAAGAGTGGATTAAGCCTTAATCCCGATATCCACCATTCAAAAGTTCCCAGCTCAGATCTACGGCAGCTGGAGTATCCCTAGCAATATTAATATCAATATAGAAGTATTTACATTGTGATAGATCAACCAGATCTACAGCAGCTGGAGTATCCCTAGCAATATTAATATCAATATAGAAGTATTTACATTGTGTTAGATCAACCAGATCTACGGCAGCTGGAGTATCCCTAGCAATATTAATATCAATGTGGAAGTATTTACATTGTGTTAGATAAACCAGATCAACGGCAGCTGAAGTATCCCTAGCAATATTAATATTAATATAGCAGTATTTACATTGTGTTAGATCAACCAGATCTGGGAACTTTAGAATGGATAAACTTTAATCCCGACTTCTTGATCCGAATATCCATTGTGGAAACTTTTAATTTTAGTCCTAATCCACTCTTTTTCTGTCTCCTTGGATATCCGTTAATTGTTTTCTCCAATGAGAATATTTCTGTTCTCTCATTGGTTGCCTGATTTCTCTGATTGGCTGCTACAGTTTCTCAGACGATCAAATATTAATTCGAATTTTATCGTTTTTCATACACTTTTAAGATAATATAATCTTGCAAGACTATGTTAATCTGGAGATTAAGAAAAAGAGTGGATTAAGCCTTAATCCCGATATCCACCATTCAAAAGTTCCCAGCTCAGATCTACGGCAGCTGGAGTATCCCTAGCAATATTAATATCAATATAGAAGTATTTACATTTTGATAGATCAACCAGATCTACAGCAGCTAGAGTATCCCTAGCAGTATTAATATCAATACCTTTTACAGCTATTCGAGCTACTTACTTTTATACCTTAAAGTTAATTGCCTTAAAATCATATGACGGTACTTTCAAGGAATTTTCAGTGTACTGTATATTGCACAGTGCACAGTGCACACTAACTAGAGTTTACAACACTCAATTTTCACGTAGTAAAATAAGTATATCTCAGTTTTCGCTACTCAGGCAAAGGTTTAAAGGCCACGTTGTGCAAAGGATATGTCACGCTATAAAAAGAATTGGAGGGTCACATGCATTCATGTCACATTTAAATTAAGCAATGTAAAAATGTGAAAAATGTCTACCTTTCAGATTCTACATGAAGATGAAGATGCTTCATGAACTCGAGATTGTTCATAAACACCTTCTTGCACACGTGACACTTGAACGCCATGTCGGCTTTGAACTCCATAGCCAATACGTCTGCCTCTCCCTGGTCAAAATTCAAAATTCAAAAGGAACAAAGGAAGCTTGAGTTTACAGTTACATATAACCTTAACTTTCCCAACATTCAAGTATAGGCTGTTAAAATTAGGATATCTACTGCTTGATATCAAACATAAGGATCCATTTTAAATCGTACAATGGAGGACCACTTGAAATTACGTCTACAGTCCCTGATATTTATTTATTATAAAGCAAGCACAAAAGTTTTTATTTCTCAAAACATAATTTGAACTTTTAAAATACTCAGAAATTGTCGTGCAAGTGTAAGTGAGCTGATAAAGTGTGAAGGAAGGGGGGGGGGCTGTTCAGGTTTAAGTAACCTGAATAAGAAAGTGAGCTGATAAAGTGTGAAGGAAGGGGGGGGGTGTTCAGGTTTAAGTGGTCTGATAAAGTGTGAAGGAAGGGGGGGGGGCTGTTCAGGTTTAAGTGGCCTGAAAAAGTGTGGAGGAGGGGGCTGTTCAGGTTTAAGTGACCTGAAAAAGCACTGGGAAAGGGGTAGGGGCGATTCAGGTTTAAGTGACATGAAAAAGCGCGGGCAGGGGCTATTCAGTTTTAAGCGGCCTGAAAAAGCGCGGAAGAGGGGAGGGGGGGGCTGTTCAGGCTTAAGTGACCCGAAAAAGCGTGAAGGAGGGGGCTGTTCAGGCTTAAGTGACCTGAAAAAGCGCTGGGAAGGGCTATTCAAGTTTAAGTGACCTGAAAAAGCGCGGAAGAGGGGGGGCTGTTCAGGTTTAAAAGACCTGAAAAAGCGCTGGGAGAGGGGGAGGGGCTTTTCAGGTTTAAGTGACCTGAAAAAGCGTGGAGAGGGGATATTCAGGTTTAAGTTACCTGAAAAAGCGTGGGGGAGAGGGGGGGCTGTTCAGGTTTAAGTAACCTGAATAAGCGCGGAAGAGGGGGAGGGCTGTTACCTGGAGGGTTGCATAGTAGTAGGGTTCAAGTTCAACCATCTCCTTACAAACCTTAACAAATATCTATATAATAAAGCTCTTAATATTCTTAACAGTTAGACAGAACAGTTTATTTTACTAATTTAACAGACGTTACATATTACCAACAGTTAAGACAGTTTGCAGACAGCGTAAGATTTAATACAATTGTGCTGTGAATCTTGGGACCAAGCATTGATCTCTATCTAATAAAATTTTTAAAAATTATCTAATTCTTCTTGGATATCCCGTGAATGTTATACCCTGAAGGGACAACTTTAAAAGTGCCCACAATAGATATCGATATCAGTGTTTAAGATAAAAAATATCCACACAAAAGTTCCGATCTTGGGTCACATAAATGACGTACCACTTCATAAATCTCCAAAACTTATTGCTGATTCTAACCTTCAAGAGATGTGTCTCATCCAGATGAACCTGCATCTTCTCTTGTGTGTCAAAATCCTTGTAGCAGTATTTACATTGTGTTAGATCAACCAGATCTACGGCAGCTGGAGTATCCCTAGCAATATTAATATCAATATAGNAGTTAGTCCCTTTAATAAACTCCTAATTATGCAGTTAGTCCCTTTAATAAACTCCTAATTATGCAGTTAGTCCCTTTAATAAACTCCTAATTATGCAGTTAGTCCCTTTAATAAACTCCTAATTATGCAGTTAGTCCCTTTAATAAACTCCTAATTATGCAGTTAGTCCCTTTAATAAACTCCTAATTATGCAGTTAGTCCCTTTAATAAACTCCTAATTATGCAGTTAGTCCCTTTAATAAACTCCTAATTATGCAGTTAGTCCCTTTAATAAACTCCTAGTTACGCAGTTAGTCCATTTAATAAACTCCTAATTATGCACTTAGTCCCTTTAATAGACTCCTAATTACGCAGTTAGTACCTTTAATAAACTCCTAATTATGCAGTTAGTCCCTTTAATAAACTCCTAATTATGCAGTTAGTCCCTTTAATAAACTCCTAGTTACGCAGTTAGTACCTTTAATAAACTCCTAGTTACGCAGTTAGTCCCTTTAATAAACTCCTAATTATGCAGTTAGTTCCTTTAATAAACTCCTAATTATGCAGTTAGTCCCTTTAATAAACTCCTAATTACGCAGTTAGTTCCTTTAATAAACTCCTAATAACGCAGTTAGTCCCTTTAATAAACTAACCTTCATCTTTTTAGCAATAAGGGATTCAGCATCAGCATCTGGGGTCACAGATCTCTTAGCTCCTAAAGACAATTGTTTAAAATAAAACTTAAACCCTCAATTATGTTTTTCAACCTTTCTTTGAACTATCATTTTCTAATTCATATCTTGCAACGTATGATATTTCAAACTAAGAAATCTCCTATGATTGAACTAAAACTTGAAATAACAAAGTTTAACACAATTAGGTTGCGCACATATTGGGATTAGAAGAATTGGAGTTTAAGGCAAGTGTTCAGTTTTCTATTTCATATCCTTATATATTGGTTTCAAAGCATTTAGAATTACTTTCCTTTGTATGTTTTCCTATGTCTCCTATTTTTCCTATTTTGAAGAAGTTTATTCCCCAAACTCTTATTCAATTAGAAACAAGATCTTATTTTCTGTTTTTAATTATTTTCAACTTCAGGTCGTTATTTTACTTAATTGTCCTAAGGCACGTTAAGTAACGTAACGTCCCACAGATGGTCTGTAATGTTAGTGAAAAGGCGGTAAAATCAGGGAATAGGAATAAAGGGAAAGGAAATGGCGCTGGTCTGGCATGAAAAAGCCAGTCGCAGTGATTTGCAGACCAGTACGGTAAACTTTACACACACTCTTTTGGTACAGACACACACCATGATTACAGTCAAGGAAATTGTAGAACAATGTTGTCAATTATAATTAAGCTTGAATATCGACTATATTTATTGTAAACTTTAATCAAGTTATATTCTTTGCATGAAAATTTGGCTTATAGTGTTGACTTAAATATATAAATAATATACTACAAGTATATTAAACTTATTTTTAAGTAAACAATTAACAATAAACAAATGTACCCTCCTAGACTGTACAAATACCGAGATTCGTATGTACTGTATAATACCTACAGTACACACCTTTGGTACGGTAAACTTTACACAAACTCTTTAAGTACAGACACACACACATGACTTTTCCACCCCTTGGGTAAAATCTATTTTTGTCCGTAAAAGGTCGACACCACTCCGGGTGGTATAAAGGAATTTTTCAAGGGTGAGCTCAATTTTTTTATTTCTGGGTTGGGCTTAGGACCTACTGCGGCTTTTAAAACCCTATGGAAATCTTAGATTTCACTGATCAATCAGGAGAAGGATGAGCCACCATAGCCCTCCCGCGCTCCTATTTGCCTCAAATTTTGAAAATAGTCTAAACGTTTTGTATTTATTTACAACAAAGAGCTTCATTTGATGATTAAGTTTTTTTTTAGAAACCCGAGTGGCCCAACCCACCAGCAACCCCAAAGATAATAAGATAAAATCCTTAGGTTGGGGGCCTGTTGTATTAATGTTTGTTTACCTGTATCTATCCTGGGGGAGGGTTTAGGAAGTATAGGAGTAGATTGGTTGGTAGATTTAGCTCGTATTACCACAGGACTACCCTGAAATATCAATAAAATAACAACACTAACCCTAACACTAACCCTAACACTAACCCTAACAACTGACACTGACACTGACACTGACACTGGCAAAAATAAATCAAACTTCATTCCGCTGAATAGAGACATTGTCATTAGTTTATGTTATGTCAAGGGCACTGACACTGACACTGACACTGACACTGACACTGACACTGACACTGACACTGACACTGACACTGACACTGACACTGACACTGACACTAACAATAACACTAACATTCACTAACACCAACACCAACACCAACACCAATAATAATAATATGTGTGATTATGTGAGATGATAATGATAATAATAATAATAAAAATAATAATAACAATGACAATGAAAATGACAATGACAATGACAATGACACTAACACAACAATATCAATAACATAACAGTATCAATGGCAATGGCAATGGCAATTACAATACCAATACCAATACCAAAAACAAAACCATTGAATAAAAATAACAATGACAACAGCAAAGAAAATAAAAATAAAAATGACTTTAACAAAGTTCGACTAAACCAGGAACTGTATAAACAAAAATATGCCTGAAGCAGTATTTGTAGAGTGGATACTATTTCTTTAGGCGCACACTTCTTTATAACGGTCATTTTTAGTTTTTAATCATTTTTATCCATAAATTGTCCGTAGCATCTTTGTTGTGTTTATTAAGTATGTGTTATAGCTTTACGGGAAATCTCCATGGCTTTGTCTCTTTACCAAGTAGAAACAATGACAATGACATTAACAATGACAAAAACACAAAATTAAGAATATCAGTGACAATGACAACAAAATTAAGAACAACAATGACAAAAACAAAAAATTGACAATATAATGATAATGACAACAAAAAAAACGAAAAAAATTAATTTACGGAAAAATTTCACGAAAAAAGACGTCAAAAATAAAAATAAGAAAAATCCATAAAAATTATGTCTATAATATGTTGAATATAAGAACCTGTACTGGTACTATATCAGGTCTCTCTGAGTATCTCCAATCCAGGAACGGATTTGCAATAATCTTCGCAACTCTGGATTCCATTGTCTCGTCTAAAAATTAAAAATGGGGGTGGACCAAACGATTGAATTAAAAAACAATTTTGGGGGAAAAATCACGTAAATTCAAAATTGAGAACTTCTGTTTCACAAGCTTAACACCCCCCTCCCACACCCGCTCTAGTGCTCTAGAGGGGAGGGGGGGGGGCATAGTGGGATATTTTAGATGGTCAGAGTGGGTTTTATCATGTTTTTTTGATTCATGATGAGAATGGACAATTTAAATATATTCTTAAGTCTTTACACTTACAAACATTGTAGCTTGCATTGCTTTATATAGCTTTCAATTTATAATATTTAGGATAATCTAGATATATTAATAGATTCTATCGACCATTAATCAATGATTTGAGATTTTGTCTCTGATTCGTGTATAAACTACCTATTTTAATAGTTTTCTCAAAATAACCAGCTTTTCGTCGGATTTTAGACCATAACTACGAATTGGACACTTATCCCCAAAAATAATTCTAAAGCGGCCGAGCCTTATTTAACTTGAATAAGAGGTTTATGGTGTAAACTCAATATTGCAGGACCCCCCTTGTGCCCCCCCCCCCCTCCCCTGTGTGTGCCTCTGATAACTTAATACCTTTAAGAGCACAGGCCTGTGTTTGTGAAGATATCTTCTGAAGAATAGAATCAAAGCAAGCCAAGGAGTACTGACCAAACATCTCCCTATGAGTATATTTATAATAACATTTAAAGTCATTCATATTGAAAATTCAATGTTTATTTCTTTTAGAGGCGTCCGAAAAAAATATAGCAAACATTATCTCAAATTTTTACTGAATCAAATCTCAATCAACCAAACAAGCAAAGATAGACATTAAGCAAAACAAACAAATCATTTTGTTAACAAATAGTTCCCTAAGAATCCCATTAAATATATATTAAAGGGACTGTAAGCGTAATTTTAAGTGACCATCCATGCGAAGATAAACAACGGTCTCCTTAAATGTTTTCCTGATCAAGTTTAAGTTATATAACCGCTTGTGTTCATTTAAACTGTTTATTTATATTTGCAGTTTCTCTGCAAAACTGAGTTGCACATTTCTAGTTTAAAAGAAGCAATCGAGAAATTATCAGAATTAAGCACTTTTTGAGTCCGATGAAGATGGTATTGTTCACATCTACTATCCGATTAAGGTTTTAAATTGGGCATCTTTACATGGAGACTGGAGAGTTACTTGAAATTTCCTTTTAGACTGAATCAAAACAATACTTTTTGTCCGACACCAAGCACTGTACTGGGAAATATTGCTAACAGTCCCGCATAACAATTTTACATTTGGAAACATAGAAATGTTAATTGATTCCTCAAAAACTAAATCATAATATTGCCAAAATATGCATCTGAACACTACGACAATTCATCCCTCTGGAACAAAAAAAATAGTAATTTTGGACTAAACTTTCCTAAAAAACAATTCGTCCAATAATTGTGGATAAAAATTAAGTGTGAACTATTCTTTACCTGAAGGACAACTCGTCTAAGAACTGCTGGACGATAGAGTTAGTCAAGTTAGACAAAGTGTTCTGGTACATCTTCGGTACAACTTTCTTCAGATAATCCATAACCTAGTAAATAAATAAATAAAACAGTCCCTTATCGACCCGAGGAAAAGTTAGGGTAGAGCCCGTCTCACTGCGCCACTTCCTATAAAGTAGCGGGGCGTTGCTTCATTTAGGATAGGTTTCATTTAGGATAGGTTTCATTTAGGATAGGTTTCATTTAGGCTAGGTTTCTTCAATTTTTTAAAAATCATTCTTATTTTTTTTGACATATAAAGTGACTTCCCTTTAACAAGGTGGTAAATCTGATTCACAACGGTACCCTTTAAACATCCGTCTGAACAAGGGATGACTAAGAAAAACATCCTTTTTCTGTCGGAAAATTGATTATTTTCAACTGTGGATTTTTGATACAAAGAAAGTGAGGGACATTGGCAGTGCTTTATCACGGTTTTAAGATGGAAGTTAATTGAAATCTCTTAAACTTGATTTCAAAATAATATCTAGCATGATTTCAAATTAATATATGGCATGATTTCAAATTAATATCTAGCATGATTTCAAATTAATATATGGCATGATTTCAAATTAATATCTAGCATGATTTCAAATTAATATCTAGCATGATTTCACACTAACTCTCCTTTTTCTTTAGAGTTATTGATGATTAAAAAAGGGGGTGCGTATTTATAAATATTATTAGAAATTTGAAATTTTCATAATTTTAAATCCATATATTAGACAAAAAAGGAGTATGTGAACAGGTAGACTAACAAAAACAATTTATGAAAAAACGAAAAAAAAACTTGAAATATTTAAAAATGGGCTAAAAATTAAAATGTGATAAGGGCGCAAAAAAAAATTGGTTTGAGAAAAATGTTAGTTTTATAAAGAGAATATTTATTAAATCCAACCTGTTGGTTCGTTTGTTCAGGTCGAGCGGAGTTCAAAGCTCCCAGACTACACTGGTGAACATTTCTGAACAAATATTTGAAAATTATTTACAAACAGTGCTTAGGATCCATTTAATATTAATGTGGATCCGGATCTGCACTGGAAAAAAATGGATCCAGATCCAGGTCATTTCTATATGATTTACTGAATCTTTTTAACAAAAAATAATTTCAAATTTCTTGTTTTATTTTTTTTGGCATTTTTTATCCTAAAACTTGATGAATCATTCAGAGATGAGGAAATTCTTATAATCTCTTTTTTTCTCAAAAGTTCAGATTTTGGATTTAGAAGTATAAAAGGTTTTTTTTGCAGTTTTTGGCTGAAATGTTACCCCTTGCATATTTTTGCGGATCCGGATGCGGATCCAGGAAGCCAAAATCTTGCGGATCCAACGGATTCGGATCCGGATCTGGATCCTAAGCACTGTTTACAAATATTACAAACTGACCATTTGAATTAAGTTAAAGGAGATGTAACTGTAAGCGTAATATACCCTCCATATAAAGGAGATGTAAGCGCAATATATCCTCCATATAAAGGAGATGTAAGCGTAATATATCCTCCATATAAAGGAGATGTAAGCGTAATATATCCTCCATATAAAGGAGATGTAAGCATAATATATCCTCCATATAAAGGAGATGTAAGCATAATATATCCTCCATATAAAGGAGATGTAAGCGTAATATATCCTCCATATAAAGGAGATGTAAGCGTAATATATCCTCCATA